TTAAAAGTAAAAAGTGCAAGAACTTTTCTTTGACGTCTGCATGCTCTTGTGCAGTGGCAGACAGGGAAGAAGCTCATTTGTGCCAGAGCCTGAGGCTCAGAATCTGATGTGAATGATTCAGGTCAAGTCATTACCCTGGGATAGTTTAAAAAGTACTTTTCTCAACCCTTCTGCATGCCATAAATAATGATTATCTGCAAAACATATTATACTTCCCCAAAGATTAAACTATATTTTCTGAACTATTTGTTTACAATTAACTGAGGCCATATTACAGCTGCTACATGTAGGCTCTGACAGAAGAAAATGTACATTTCATTACAGATTGCAATGCTAAAAGGCAAAATCAGAGAGTAAGCATGTGGTACAGTGGATTCTGGACACACCAGTGATATTTAAAGAAAGTGCACACCTTCAAGCTTGTTCAGTGTGGAAACAATTGAGCATAATCAACCAAATGATCAATGAAAAAATGCAACATCACCTTCAGTCTTCTTTGTTTTGTTTTTTTGGCCTCATCATAGCACTGTGTGTTAACTATCTTGGCAAGCACTGGAAATTCCTCTTAATTGTTGGAAAAGTTTGTTTCTTGCTAGTTAGTATGATCTAAGAATTAGAACTATAATTGGAATTAAAATTCATTTCTTCTGTTTCCTGTGTAGTATTTGCTTCTCAGACACCACATAAGAATGTCAGAGACCTGGCCAGTCGACAAGTATGATCCACAGCTGCTGTAGCCTCAGAGTGAAAGCAGGGATACACCTCAATGCTCTCTGTCTCTAGGAGAGGCAATATGCTGCTCAGACACTGACTGATTTAATTCGAATTTTTCTGCTGAGTGTGGCTTTTGTCCTGTGAGTGAATCCCTTTCAGTAAGAGTGTGGTTCTGCCCTGGCACAGGGGTCTTCACCACTGGCCCTGCAGCATCCTCCTGCCTTGCTGTTTTCCTGCCAAACTGATCTCTCAATTACTCAGACCCACTGAACCTTTAAATTGAATTATTCACTTTACTTGACCTTCCTTAACTCTTTGCAGTTTAAAAAGTTTAGAAAAGATCTATAATGCTGTACAAAGTACCAGATTAAATAAAAACTTTGGGTCCATTGCAAATTATTGTACAAACCAGATTTTGGATACCTGGAGTTGATTTTTGGTTCTACCTAATGGTATCCTATACCATGTAAATATTCTCTGTAATTGGTGTCTAGAGTAAAGGCTGCAATTTTGATTACAGTCTGTGCCAAAGCTCTGTGATTCATAATTAATCTTTTTGATCAATTTTGTTTCAGTGCAATCTTTCTGAAATTTAAGCCACTGGGTGACATACAAAACTAAAAAAGCTTATAAGAGGGGCATTCAGTATAGCATAAGTATGGCCTGTGTCTGTGTTTCAACAATTAGATATCTATTAAGTATCAGCTTCACAGATTCACACAGATATGGGTTAGCTGTGCTTTTTTTAAACAAAGTAAGAGACCATTGAACTGGGGTCTATATGCTAAATGCCTTGCTTACTTCATCTTCTGTACAGCACAATGCATGCAATCTGTGATTTGCTCCTTCAGATTTCTCTTTTATCCAGGTGGTCTGTCCTTTCCTAACCACCAACCTAATTCAGCTTCTCATCCAGGCACTAGTCATCTCATGTCTGGACTTATGCATCTCGTTTCTTATAGGACTCCCCACAACCTATCTAGAATTCAACCTCCTAGAATCCACAACTAATTCACAGCTAATTCAAAATAGCTACCAAATTATAAGGCAATGTTTTTACAGCAATTTATAAGCCGAAATATAAGACCTGCCTTCTAATTGAGCTTCTCTCAATATTCAGTGTGTTAGTCACTGATATACACTAAGTATTTCCTATTAACAAGCAAACTTACTATCATTTAACTTAACACAATGATGACGGAAGAAAACATGAATGAAATTGGACACAATTGACCAAGACATTTTCCACCTTTTAACTTTGGAAATGTTTTGGTTGAAATACTTTCCTGACTATCAAGAACCTGGCGAGCAAGGTGTGCACATCCTCGTCCCATTTTTCTCCACCCGTGTGAAGGTGGATTTTCTGCACTTTCAATGAACACAAATAAGCAACAGACTTGATGTTAAAAGCGACTTACTTGTGCTCGTTCATCCACAGAGCCAAATATTTCCAAACGTCTGGCAAATATGCAGCATCAGAACTCACACTGATATTGCCTGATGCAAGCTCTTAAATTAGACTGAGGTTAAAATGTGTATTTGGATGATTCTACCTTCAAGCTGTTTCACTATTTTTAAGTAAAAAATGTTTTTCATTAATATCAGAGTAAGTTCACAAATAGCAATTGAAAGTATTATTTTAAAAAATATTTGCCCATACACCAAGGGTGGGGGGGGGGGGGGGTTTGAGTTATCTGAAAGAGGGGTATAATGTGTCAAAGGTTGAGAACCACTACTCCAAAAACGTTTTCTTTCACCAATATAATACAGGTATGAAGTTTTAAATCAATCTCTCTGTAATGTTCTGTGACACTAATTCAGTACCTGCCATTAGTCTTACTATTTTTATCAATCAGCTGATCTCATCACTATCTTTTCTTAACTCTTACACATTCTCTCAAAGGCATGAGTGCAGGCGGGCACAACAAAAAGAAAAAAGTTGCTGCCTCGTTGTCTCAGGAGTCTGTTCTGCCAATCAGTCTTACAAGTGCACAGACCTGCCACTAGACTGATGGAGCCTCCAGTCAAAACTGACCTTATCGTGTTCTCAGGACACACAGACACAGCTAGGTATGCCAGATTGTTACTCTCCGTTTGAGAGTGCACTGTGGATCACCAAACTAAGTCAATAACCAGGAAAGCCTCACACCCTCTCTCTATTTCACTTCCTTGATAAATATTGGACAATCATAAGCAGATAGATACAGGACAATTTGTCCTGTATGTTACATCTTTTGATATTCCTTGAACTCCTAAGGGGCTAGCTGCCTACTGTATGTGTGTGGACTCCTCTCACTCTTCCAACAGCAAGTAATGTTTCTTAATTGTTAAATACAAGACTATGTAATTTCCCCTATTTTAACAGACAGCAGGAATTGCTAATATGGTTTAAAAATGAAATGCAAGGCTTCCAGAAAATATTCCAGAAAAAACACTGTATTTTAATGCTAGTTAAAGGCAATTAATATGAAAAGCAACTTGCTGAGAAAAAAATTAATTACTTGTCTACTTTTATGGTAGTCTGAGATTTATCAATATGGGAACATAAGTTCTAGAAAATAAATTGTCTGTGTTAACAGCAAGACACATTCAGCCTAAAGCAGCTGGAAACCAAAGGCATATGCTGCTAGCTCTGCAGCACTATTTATAGCACTCTATTAAAACCATTTTATTACACAAAGAAATGAAAATGAAATAGCTCACGAATCAGTGGAAACTGCCTCTATACATTGACAGTGAAGACTCTTGCACAGGGAGGGTTTAGTGATGTGGGTCTATTACAATCATTTTTTTTTGCTAACACCCAACCGAACGTCTCTGCTAAATCTTCTACAGTCTTCACTTATGAGCAGTTCACACCTTGAATTGATTTTCCACAATGTGAATTGCCACTGATACATTTCAAGAAGGTCATCATATTCAAAAATAAGCATAAGCAAATATAAAAACGTTCTTTAGGTGAGAAGGGATTGTTGGGTGTAGAAATGGCTGGTTTGATTCCCACTCCCTGTGGTGTTCACTGAGACTCTCTTAATAATCACAACACAGCAGGCTGTGTTGTTGATGTTCTATCCTGGCCAACTGAATTTGATCTTTGGAGACATGTGCCCACAGTCTTTTCAAGGCTCACAGAGTCTGTGGATAAACCTTGTTTCTACAATGAAATCATTTCTTTTAGCTTAATTTTAATCAAGGAAATAAAAAAAACATTGTACATTGCAAATATTGTTGCATTTATATAGGGATATGAAAAGTACTGTATATGCTATTTTACGAGGGAAAAAAACAGAGAGCTACTGAGTTACTTAACACAACTGAAAGACTGAACTACAGTATATTACTCCTAAAGCCTACTGAATCCTCTACAAGCCAGAGACTTTCCAATATGTCGTATTAATGTCTCTTTTGTCCTCTTGACTTTATTACTAGACCACATGCCAGAAAGAATAGCTCCTATCATACTATCAGTTTACAGTTCATGAAGGCCCACTAAAGGAGACGTTTCCATCCCCTGTGAGCATGGATCGATATGGCAAAGGAGCCTTTCTATTATTAAACCACAGTGTTTTGGCAGAGGGGCGCCGGCTCCTGCCTCGCTGCGACATGACGGGCCAAACGCACAGCAGGCCATCTCCTCACCTGGGTAGAAGCAGCAGCAGGCACTCGTGGGACATTCCCAATGCCTGATGTCAAGCAGAACAAAGGCGAAAGACGAAAGACTAGCTGGGAAATGAATGTGCTGCTCCGTGAAGCCAGTTTCAAGAAAGCAGCACAAATGTTTTTAAAGATTTTTTTGTACGTACTCGCAAGGCCATTGAACCCTGAAGGAATGTGATGCACTGTAAGACTTTGCTTTAGAAAGTTATCAATTCGGTTACCCATGCTTTACAGCACTTAGACATCAGGCTAATTAAAGTAGAGTAATTCCACTGTAAAATATCTACATATTAGCAGTTTATGCAAGTATATACAGTAATAATTGTAATGTTCAAAATGTGCATTCATACATTTTGGTTATAGGGCTGAAGTATAACAATTTACACTATGCTGTATGTAGGCAGATTTCATTATGTATATCTCACCTAAGCTTTTAATATTGAGATTTTGTCTATTTTTATGTACACTTCAAAGATAGCACAATACATATCCCTGTTGGTTTCTTGTGTGTATCTAAGTTTATCACCAGTCTAACACTGTGACAACCAGAGCTGTGGGAAGAAAGAAAGTAAATTAACTGAAAGTAAAGTACTGTACCAGCTGTACCCCAGTAAAATGCCTTGCCTTACCTTTGCTATTAGGGGAGTTTGCAGCCTTTCAGTTGCTGACCTGAATACAGCCGAGTGATGTTTCTTGTATCTCTCCTCCACTGTGCTCTTCACCTGCCAGCCAACAAGCATGACATTTTTACATATTGGTTTAAAGACCAGAATCTAAACAGACAGTATCACTGCACATGTTGATCCTGTTAATAGTTTTTCAGGTGTGTAGTGTACACCACGAACAATACAGGAAAAAAAGTGAAGCTGTAGGGCAATTCATTTATCACTTAAGTTTTGTATTATATCAATAGTTTTTTTATTTACACTGGTTGTGTAACTTAATATGCTTTTATTTTCCATTTTCCATTTTAGGCCTGTGTGTGAGTTTACAGCCCTGTCTACAAAAGGTATTATTTCTGCTCATCTGACCATTATTAGCATTAAAAACTTTATAGGTTTATTCCATGCTCAAAAGAGAAGAAAGGAAGCACAACATTTCGGCTGTGAAGCTTTCTTCAGGTATAAAGGTGCTTACATGCGAAGAAGGCTCCGCAGCCGAAACGTTGTGTTTCCTTTCTTCTCTTTTCAGGATGGAATAAACCCGTTACCTGTTCTTTTGCAGCCTACGCATGCTGACGCAGCTACCCACCTAAAAAACCTTGTGCTGTATATGAATCTAGGACCACAATTGTATTTCAAGAAGCTGAAAAAAACAATAGATCATTGTGGTATCCAAAACAAAGATGGCATGATCCATCAATATTTTTAATAAGCTGCTTATCCTACTGAGGGTAATGGAGCCAGAGACCATCCCAGATATCCAGGGCTCAAGGAGACACTGAGAGAACACAACAGCAGCACTTCTGTACAGGAGGCAGACACTGGTGTCATATCATATGAATTAAAGGTTACTTATTGTAAAGGAAAAATATCCTATCTGGAAAGGAATTCAAATGTCATTGTGTAAAGACAGATTCACAGAGAATAAGTCCAAGACAGGATGGCTCAAATGTCACAGCACTGCTTTGGAAACTTGTCTCAATTGGTCTGAATTCATGTTCCATGAAACCACAGATCACATGATCTAAATCTTATCTCCGGGGACACCTGAAAAAGACCAGTAATCAGAATAACCTGTACACCAGTGGGTTCCAATCCTGGTCATGGCAACCCACACACCTGCTAGTTCTTGTAACCATTATTAAATGGTTAAATACAATTTTTAAAAAATGAAATAAAAACTTGTGACTAGAAGTCACAAATATGCCAATGAAGCAACTTCTTAGATCTATTAAGAATTCTATCTAATCTCAACCACCTTATCTACTGAAAGATGGGATGGAATGAATATCAGGAGATGTGTGGGTCACCAGGACCAGGATTGGAAACCACTGTTGTACACTGTTATAAAACCAACAGTTGAACCACAATGATTGCTAGGTTTTACTACACAAAATCCATACTATATCGATTTTCACAATACCCAGTGGAATTTAACTGTAAGCCATTTGACTGAGGGGGCATGAGCCAAATAAAAGTAAACTAAAGAAAACAATGATAACTGTAATTACAGTAGACTGGTGAATTCAAATATACTAGGTATGAGTAAATCCAGCTCTATAACAGTTCAATAATGAATGCCTGTTTTGTAACCTTTTTTTCCACACATGCACTAGCTTTCACTAATGGTTATACAAGCAAGTCTTTGTACAAAACATTTTTCACTTGTTCATAACATTTGATCAACTGTTTTCTATCAAGACTTTATATCTGAGGAAATAATAATTTCGGTATGATATCAGATCCCATTTTTTCAACAAATGATGATTAAACTGGTGATAAGCAATTTCATAATTTTATTTATTAATTTTATGTTACAGTATCTCCTCAACCTGGTGTCCTACCTCTGGTTTAGTTATCAGGCGTCTTACAGCTTCTAGTGACTGCCTTTTCTTTTATCACAGTGTCCACATCTCCATAGTGTCTTTACTTTTCTTTTGTCTCTGTTTCTGAATTAGTGATTTTGGGGTTCACTTGTTCTTTTTGAGGGTTGAACCTTTTTGTCCTAAGGCCCTCTACCTCTTAACCAAACTGGTTAAGCCAAAACCTATTAGACTTAAAAACCCAATAAACATTTTGCAAAGCATCTGATTCTTGGATGTAGATCTTCCTTTTGAAATATGCTTTCAGGTCTGGGCAAACATGGGAAAGTTTCCAGTTATCTGGGTGAAATAAAAAGCATACCAAATAGCTCCAGTAAAAGACAAGAAAAGAGACACTGGTAAACATATTTGTAACTGTGAGTTTTCTGAATGGCCTTTTTCTTGCCTGCCTCTAGCTACTGCATGTTTCAAATAATTTGACAGCACAGCTACTTTTTCATATACTGACAATTAAAGAAAAACATTCTCAGTCTAAGCACAATAAAAAAAGATTGATTTGATATGGTTCTGAGATATCTACTGGTTATCAGAGCGTATTAGTTTAATTTTTAGAATACAGTAAAGAGTACTGCAACACTGTACGTAAGGTAAATTTAAGATAGCCCTATCTTTACCTGGTACTCAGCTGGCCCTGGAAGCATGGCTTCATGTTTAGTTACAAAAGCAGGGGTTCGGCATGCTGTTGACCCAAATCCTCCTTTTCTTGTGGTTTCCAGGTATGCCTTTTTAAGGCTTTCTTGTGCAACACCATAGTTAAACAAATTGTAAGCTCCTGGGCCTAATAAGAGAAATGAAAGACAAAATGGGCTGTGTCCTTTAGACTGTTTTGCCACAGTTAATTTCCAACACAGTCACTATATTTCTGATATGTCTTCACTGTTATGATTATGTATTTAAATACCTCTAAATAGAGATGTGTTAAGTCTGATGTGTTTGTTATTGAAAGATCCACAGAGGTTAGTGACAAAGTTATTGTTGTCATAATCTGAAACTATAGTCTCACTATATACTCTGCAGAGAAGAATCAAATTCCAAAAGTTAAAACCAAATTGAAATGTTATAGTGTAAATGGCCTTTACCAGAAAAGATCAATCACAGTGCTGAGGCATGGAACAGGCAAATAATGTAGTGTACTGTAAGTGAAGATTAAACTATATCTCTGAAGTAACTGTCATTGATTACACAAGTATGTTCCTTATCAAAAGGCAAAATGCATACTTTGTTGTATTGGGAAACATTACCTATTCAAATTCACAAAATATTGAAAGATGTTTTTAATTTTAGAGGAAAAGGAAAATGCCTACAAACCAAAATCGATTTCTAATTGATTTGAACGCCTTGTAGTAGTTATGTTCGTATCGTTACGAACAGTAAATGTATTGCTACATTTCACCTAAATCTTATATTCCAAGATAAACCTGTCACAATCCATTTTTTGGTTTTATTCAATGTTGTCAGCAGAGCTTTCCTTAAATATATTAAGTGCTAATCGTGTGCGTGACTGTGCTTAACAATCTGAGGCAGCACAGGTAGTGTAGGCATGTTTGCACTATGAGCATCATGGAGGCTTGACAGCACCAGTGCTCGCTGCTGACCTGGCGTGATCGTCTTCCTGGAGACAGGAGTGAAGCGCACAGCAGTGACGCCAAAGGGGCTCTTCTTCATCCCTGTGATCTTCCTTAACCTCTCCAAGGCTGTACGTGGGTCATCGTAAGCACCAGGAGCTGGAGTCTCCGACTTGACGGGAGCAAATCGCTGGTGAAGCACATGAAGAGCACAGTTTTGGTTTACAACTGAACTGCAGACCTGCTGGAACTGCTTTCAGAACCCTATGTGATGAACACAGATGATTGAAAGAACGGTAATAATCACTTGATGCATTTCTCAATAAGTAAGCTGTTTTTATACCTGCTATTGACAGAATAGGTAATAAATATGGACCAAGATTCTTCAAATATGCAACAGTTGTTTCTTTCACTCAGTTCAGATATTGTGTGACCTTGCAGTTTTTGTTTCCATTGTGTATTAGCCTACTACATCTTAAAGGGTCATTTTCAGCACCACTAGGTTCCAGTGTAAATTTGAGCACAGTAAATTATTCCAGCAGTAGCCCCAACCTTAATACTGGCACACATGTGACATCTCATGTCTGTCCTCACAAGGCCTAGAGTGCCAGCAAAAAACTGTAAAAATCCAAGTACAAAGCAGAACACTATACATCAGTGCATGTAAGAGCATTATTGTAGATCAGATTACAGTTCAGTAACTTTTTTATGCCCTGGTGATTGTTCCTGGTGATTGTACTACAATATACAACACATCTCAGCATGCAGCTGTCAGCACAAGCCTATATTCTTTCTGTTGTGACAATTTATTTAAGAACAAAAACATATGCAGAATCCTCTACTAAAAAGAAACAAACCTTTGCCATTTTTTCTTAGGTACACATGCCCATAAATTACAATTATGGCACTATAAAATTATTTACACAGGACATTTAATAAACACAATAATGGAATATGCGTAGACACAAGGAATTCCTTTCACAGAATATGTTGCATTGTGATATTTATCTGAAATGGTTTTGAACTAAACTCTCTTTATATTTTATTGACGCTAGCTGAACAATACAGAGAAAAATGAATTATTTAGGCAAATGGCCAAGGTGTTTCTGAAATAGATAAACTTGCTGTATACCCAAGACAACACGGTTTCTCCTTGAATCATGAAATACTTCCTGTAAATTGTATCAGGCAAAGCAATTCTGTCCTAATATTACCATTGGGACCAAGGAAACTTTGAGCAAAATGCCATTTTAGAATACGGACAGCCATTTTTTTAAAATAAATCATTGGTACTCTGTGAGACACAGCTTTGGGCTCATGTTAAAGATATTCAAGGTTAAAACAATTCTTGGCAGGATTTTCATTTTGTGTAAAACCTAGAGGGAATAGTTTCACAAATCCATTTTCATAACGCATCAAAAGAAAATAAAATTCATTATATATTGCACATTAAAAATCTATCCTACATTACTTAGCTTTTACAGTATTTCACAGTGGTCTATGCTGAATGGCATCGTGCCTTGACTATTTCAATTTATATTTCCTATCAAGTAATCATTTCTTTGATTGTTAGTAACGCAACTCAGATTGATAAATAATCTGCAGTAGGAAAATCATTAGAAAAAAGCTTTTTTCCAGAGTTAGAGGAAGTAATTTCAAAAAGTTTTCTATGTTCTACTGATAAATACACTACAAAATAAAATCCTGTATGATAAAACCTGCCTTTATATAGTGCTCTTCATTCCAAAGCATTGTAGGGAAGCTCATAGATCACTGCTCTAAACAGCTTGTGGTTACAGTTAAAGAGACTTAGGGTTGCTTCCTCACAGTTGAGCTGATGGACAATGATATTCCTGCAGAGGTTCACTGTATTTCTCCATTGAAATATGCAGACACCATAGTGGCTCATAAAAGTGCACTTCACCTGATGCATAAGGTGAGCAATGTACTTGAGCAATATGTTGAAAAATGCCTTAGCTAGAGCTCTCCTCAACACCTGCCCCTGCTAGCCCAGGAAGGAAGAAGGAAGACTTAGCTAGAGAAAATCCATGCAGTTATGAGAAGAATAATAAACTCCTTGTGAGCACATTCAGTTTTATGTCATACAGCCACAGTCGGTGTCAAAATCCAGTACCACCTGCAGTATCCCATGCTGTGGTAATAATACGCTGAGATTTTCTTCCAGTCTCCAAACTTGCACACTGCTATCTCATTGGCAGAGCACTCAGAACTCTTATATGACACACAGATTTTTTTGTCAGCAAGAGATTAAAATCTTTTGACTTTTAAAACAGTATAAGATGCACATTTATAATTAGTAGTCACTGAATTACGTTTTGTGCATATAGTGTTCTATTACTTTTTTCGTGAGTTGTGAGTTCAGTGTGGCAACCTGCCTTTCCTGCTCCGTGTGGCAGTCTGAAATGTCAGATCTCCAAGTCTCTCAGATATATTTATTATTATTCCTGAAATATCAGGTAAACTCAGGCAGTTCTTGTGTTCCATTCCAGCTGAGCTGTCATTCACTATTATGCAATAATGTGCATAATCCAATCTAATTGATTTTATATGAAAAATATTTACAGAAAAAGATCTACGCGAAAAAAATGAAGTACAGCTGAAAGGTGATGAGAAAGGTTTGGAATCTCTCAAGCTCAAGACAGCAAGCTCTGGTGTGTAAATCCTTCAGATGACCTTTCACTCCCCAGACACCTTTCACAGATCATTCCTGTTAGGTTTTGCCAGCATGTGAATTAAGACCCCAAACAATTTGATCCCAGTACTGATCAGAACTGATTTTCTGTGCATTTTTCCTGATGTAATCATGGGAATACTAACAAAGTTCGATGTAAAGAATGCTCACAATTGGTAAACAACAAATTTTCCCTAAAAATTAGATTTTTTGATAGCTATAGAAAAATGCAGTAACTATCATTTTCTAGAAAATTGTTCAGAAAATGAAAACCTAGTCATTCAGTGTCTTAATTTTAACAACATTAATGGACAATCTATTTGGTCTAACCAGGACTGTGCTTTGGTCAAAGAGGCACTTGGACCCACCCAGGAACTGGATCTCCTGGTTATATGAATATGATCTATGGATGTTGAACATTGTAGTGTAAGAGAGAAAATAAGACTGACATTTTGATTGTGCACTGTGAGGGACCATAAAAACCATTCTTCCAATAGGTCCATTTTTATTGTAGGACCTTTGACGGTGAGAAGGAATATTATACCATTGTATAATAAAGTGAGAGGGCAAGATAAAAGAATGTCACAGGAAAGGGAAGACTCGGCTTTCTCAGGAATTCTGCCTGAAATTACAGCTAGTCAGCTTGCCCCGCTTCGAGAGAAATGACAAGAGCTAAGACAACGGATCTTTGGAAGACCTTTTTTGCACTTACTGCTGCAATATTACTTTCCTTTTTGGTGTTTGAGCACCTTTGCAAACATGAAACGTAATGGTTTCTGCAAACGAATTTACACATTGAAGACCACAATTCCCCTTCTGCTTGAGACATTCAGGTCACTTAAATAAATATCTTATATTTACAGTATAAGAGTGTTTAAGAATGTGTTTTAATTTTTATAATTGACTTGGTTTTACCAAAAGGATCTTTTTGTTTGGTTTTGTCTTTTAGCTATGTCCATTTACTTATTGATAGTTCTTCTACAAAGAAAACTAATGGAAGTGACAATGTGGAACAGGTACAATAACATAGATATTCACTTCCTTTGGTTCTCCTGAGCTCCATTTCTGCTATTTTGCACTGGTTATGTCAAAGGAAAATGGTATCTGGCCAGGAGTTTCAGGTTCAGGAGTTCATCTTAACCAAGGTGTCCATGACAAGGTGGTAAATGGTCACCCACCATTTGATTAATAGATTATCACTCCAGTAGGACATCATACTGGTTGGCTACCATAGTATACCGTTAACCCACCGTTGTATTTTTAATACAAAGCTTTGGCAGTCCCATTCTTGTAATTGTAACACAAATTCTCATTTTGAAACAAGGCTACAGAAGAACACACGTGCTGAATAGAAGATCAGATTTCACCTCAGGACAGCCTCTGTCTTACCCGTGCCTGGGACAAGAATGGTGGGTTCTGAGCTGGAACACCATTGTGAGAAGTGCTTGACGTGTCAAACTGGCTTTTAATTTCATATTTGCCGGGACCAGGTACACCCTAGACCAGAAAAGAACAGACCAAAACTGAAAACACAAATAATAACAACAAGCATAAGGACATTTTTTAATTTTTCAAAAAAAGCACAAGTGCACAGAAATGAAAGGTTCTTTTTGTAATTGAAGGCATCTTAACCAGTACAGATTGTAAAGATAAATGACTGAACTATGGAAATGAAGCTCCATTCAAGGCTGAGACAAATCCAGCAGCAGAACAGAGGTCACAGAACATTGAGCAGGTGCCATCAGCCATCTTACAGTGTCACCTTGCTCTTAGACATCCACATCCAAATAAGCGAGTAATTATGTTATAGATAGTGGCATCTGTGTGTCGACCTTTGACCTAAGGTGGTAAGCTGCACACAAACCTTGCAATGCAGGAAGATGCATGGGCAATTAGAGACTAGGAAACAAACAGGGTCATTGGGTAGTTACTGAACTGTCTCGGCTCATGAAGCAATGTCATTCATGGCACTTCTTTATTGTCACAAGGCATCATTAATCACAGTGCAAACATAGTTTGCGAGTTTAGAACTGATAAAAACAAGGTAATGCTTATATGTCTTTGCAACATAATTAATATTGCAGGTGATATACAGTAACTCATATGTGAAGAAGACTTAACATGAAATCTGTTGAAAGCTGTTTTGTCCTTCTATTTTGCGGCACAAAATTAACCTTTGCTGATTCATTAATTGTTATTACTACTAATACAAAAGGGAAAAATACGAATAGGGAGAAAAGGTAAAAGAAATCTCTGTTTTATGAAATCCAATTTACATGTATTCTCCTAAAGATACAGCTAGGTCTACATATGAACAAGATCGGGAACCACAAAGTTATACAAAAATATAAAGAAAGTTATAAAGAAGTCAAGAGTTGCAGCAGAACTTTCAAAATGGAATCAAATTAATGAAAACCTTTTAAAATGTGACACATATTTTCACAGAATCTCAGAGGACCTTATCACAGTTACCTCTAGCACAGGAAAATAAATCTAGTTTAAATAGCATTTTTTCTAATGTGTTGAGTCACAATTATAAAAAATACTTAAATTAGCCTACCATGCAGATTAATTTGCACTGTCGGGTTTACTTGTGTCTTTGGTCTTCAACCAGAAGATAATGGTTCTAAATTAAGATAAAATGCCAATTAACTATCTCAAGAATTTAGTAATTTTACACTATTTTATTTTATATAACCATTGAATTATAGATAATAGCCTAAACAAATAGCATGGTACTAAACAGAGAAGTCCAACATATTTTGGGGGTTTGTGTCTGTTGAGTCTTTAGGAGACTCTGAATTATGTTGTAACTGTAAATTCAGTAGACTCTTAATATATAGTATAAGTCTCAATAACTGCAAATACAGTTTATTTAAAGATCTTAATCAGCCACTAACTGCAAAGTATCTGCAAAAATTGCAGGAATCCACTTTGTGAGATGCCCATCCATGTTGTAAGTAAACATATGCTAGTAATAGCATTTACAGTAACTGTTTTCTGTGGTCAAGACAGCTTTGTCCACAATTACAAATATATGGTAGATCCAAGATACCCAGTACTTGATTAAACACTTTCAAAGAGAATAACTGGAAGGAGACAATAATATGCTTATAAATAACTCGCATTGAGAAACCTTGCATACTAACAAAGAAAGGAAAGATATGTAGTGTGTAGTAATCATAAAAGTAAATTGCAATTAAAGAAAAGTTACAGATATAAACTACACCACAAAAGACAGAGAACTTTTGATTTCAACAGGGCCATGTGCTCTTTTTTGTATTGTAAAATATAAACATCAAGCGCACAACCAAAAAAAAACTACAGAAATAACAGCCTTAACTACTTACAAAAACATTTTCATTCCACTACCATTTTTCCTACAGTAGCTTACTAAGCTTTTCTCCCTCTTCCAGCAGCACATTAGAATTGGTGGCATGTGTTTGTGTGTCCCTATTGTTAAAGATGGAAGGTAGCTGCAGTGCTGCACAGAGGTTAGGGTGCTGAGAGAGCCCCTGTAATACTACGTGTTGTGGGTGCTCTGTGTGAGGTCTGTGTGTCCTATGTAGGACAATTGGAGGCGTCCTCCAGGTAGGGGCCCAGAGGGCAATGTAGGCAATAATGACCCATCTGTTCACAAGCTGCAGCCACCACTTTCTAATGAAGACAGATGTGGGCTGCCCTACTCCTTCTGCCTGCAGGGTGCTAATGAAAGCACCTAATGGTCAGAGCCTGCCATTTTTGACTGAATGATGACCAAAAGGGATGCACCTGAAAAAACTAGTTGGTAATGTTATGCAGTCATTAGTCTTTATCCCTGCTGCATTGATTCTCCAGCACTCTAGCAAAACAACTGCTGCTCTGAAACAATGTTAGCTCCAGCTCCCTGTCACTTGGAATAACCTTGCCCCAGCAGCCTGTCAGAAACACAGCCTGATCTCCAGAACCCTGGATCCCACATGCAAACATGCTCCTTTTACTTCATCAGCAGAATTTGTCAGATTTGGAAAATAAAAGAGTAAAATCAAACAGGAAAGCCAGGTTTCAAGGCAGTCACATGGTTATTAAGCAGAAGGGTGACACAAAAAGGTACTTTCCACATCAATCCATTGTTGCCCAGTCAGTAGCACCATCTGGACAAACAGCTCCTGTTCAAATATTGCTTACAAATGACAAGTACAACTTAAAAAGTATGTCCCGTTGTTGCAGAGCTTTGACTTTATTGCATTTATCCAAAAGCTTTTGTGTTCAATGGATCAAAAACTAATTGAAGTAAATTGCCATGCTAACCTAAAGGCATACAGTAAAATGTAGGGTTTTTGGGGATTTATTGTATAATATACGAAATATTATATCTCAGAAAAGAAGGATTAATATTTTCAGACCCTAGCAGTTAAAAATAAGTGCAAACGCAAATGTCCTGCCCAATGTTAACCAGAATTGAACGATTGGTACGGTATATTCCTATTATACATTGGTAAATTATTTTCAGATGAAGTACCCAAAACACACACTCATTATATTTTTTTTAATTGCTGGTAATTTGAAGTAAGTAAATTAACACAACAAAAGTCAAAACCTTAGATATCACAGGTTACCTAACGGTATTTTATCACTAGTTCCTGTAAAACATCCAATTAGGAAAACACATTTTTGAATGTATAATATTTATAAAACAAAAATGTTAATACTTTATGGTGTTATTAAACAAAAGTTCAGGAGGAGCTCAAATTCTAATCCCAAAATCTAATTTTCTGGTCTGGTTGGTTGCCCAAATCTCTGAATGTGTCTTTTCTACACCCCTCTCTTCACCCCCACTGCACCCTAGCAGCTGCCTCCCTTGCTCATTCCTTGTAAATGACGGGCAAGCACTGTCATTTCCTCAGCTTTGTGAGTTAACAGCAAAGTATTAAATACACTATCCCTTTATATTCATTGGCTCATTTTGAAAAAAATTACTAAATGTCCAAAGAGGCAAAATAATAATTTTAAGATGCATTGCTTCAGTCCAAAACTAAGAACATTTGTTATGGCAAATGTTGCCTACAATATGAACAGTACTGCATTTTGGATGTTTAACATTGTCAGGCTCTATGGCATGTTTAATATTACATTTCTATGCATCAGAAATTTACTAATTTAATTTTTATTATTTCTTTTTTATTTATTTTACCCTCTATTTTCTCTCCTCTGTATGAGAATATTAATTATTGTAACAGAAAAAGTCCACAAAGATAGTGTGTTTTTGTTATTTGAGTCAGAACTCTCTGTGTGTGGACTCAAATGTGCAATTTGGATACTGGCAAACACAGAGACCTGGGAAACAGCCTCAATTTATCTTGAGCAAAAACAGAGCAACTGTCTTCCATTTGCTGATATCAGAAGCCATTAGTGCTTTAGGGGAACTCTCACAAGCCTGTCTCCCAGGGAAGGCAGGCCTTCTTCCAAGAGGGAGTGAAATGGCTGATACAGTAGGTTATGCCAGGAAGAAAAAGAAATGCAAATTACATGGATTTTTAAGTTGAAGCTTCTACAAATATAATCAGCTGTCACTTGAAAAAGCATTTAAGGCAGAATCTCAGAATTTACTGCACAAAGTCTGTCAAGGCAAGGTGTACAGAGTAGCTATGGGTTGTAGGTTATGTTAGACTTGACTTTTAGATAAAAAACACAACCAGGCAAACATCGGGAGTACACAGACAGTTTGGATGATTTAATACACACAATGTGTAGAACCCTAAATGTGCACAGACGTAAGTCCCAAACCTCTGTAGGACTAAAGGAAGCTATGTAGGATTGCTCTGGTTGAGGTCCCATGATTTTTTGGTGACTTTCTTATTGTACTAAAATCAAAATTTATTGAAGAGGTTCATAGTCTTCACCATTGGCCTGTTGAGATAAAAGCTTAGTTCCTTACTGGAAAAGCCTTTAATAGACAGTTAAACCATCTCAAAATGGTGGTGACAGTAAAGAGAAGAAACAATTTATACTATATTGAGGCACTTCATAAAAGTTACAGAATATGTTTCTTTTTCGTTACAAATAGGATATAGCAAGAGGTAGGTCAGATCCTTTCATTTATAGAAGAGAGATCTCAAAGTATCCAATTATTAATCTTCTTTCCCTCCTCTCACAATACAATTGTCATGGTACTTTCCAACTTGTCGTCTCTGCTTCAGGCAAATATACAGTACCATCTTCAGTCTGCAGCAAAGACCACACTACTGACTCTTTCACAGCCTAACAGGAGTTTCATCGATCATTTGTTGGTATACGACACAAAATCTTTTGCAAAACATATTCTGAATATTGTACTTATATTAAATTAGCTTCTAGAATATCTGGGAAACCAGACAAGACAAAGAGATAACAAGAGAAACATTATTTGGATTAAACCAATTCTGACATTCTCTGTTTACCCATATATTGATAGAAATGTATATAATTCCCCCAGAGACAAGATGGAGTGTAATTTGATTCATACCGAACAGCTATTACATAATTTTATTCCAGAAAGTGAACTTTTTATTGTAATACTCTGTAGTCCCTAAAGTAAACAGCTGAAACACAGTATGATACCAGCCAGACTCTAGCTTCCATTTGGGTTAAAATCATTAAGAAACTATGAGGAACAAAGCAAAAAGTGGCAATGGTTTAGTGGCAGTTTACCTTACCACAAATACTGGACAGAAAAGTAAGGTAAACTAAGTAAACTAATGTCCCCTGAGCCAAGCATTCAGAGCTACTCAGCTTCATGTTTAAGTTTTTTTTAATTATCTATGGGAAGAAAAAAATATGGATCCTCACTTGCTTTGGAATATGAATAGAAGAGAACTCCTCCACCATATTTTCACCACAATTATAATAAAAATAGTAATTATCCATAAAACACAGGTTAATTATACATACTGTGTTCATCCTTTTGATATGTTGATATTCATCCTTTTATTGTGCACTGTTAAGGCATTCAAAAGTATTTTTACTTTTGTACAGTATTTTAAATAATGGATGGAATAATTTTCACAAAAAAAAATTGTTGGAAGTTTCTTCAATTTTGCACTCCAGATCCGAAGAATTCTCAAGAATCACATTTTTCAACTACTTCAATCACATACAAAACAAGTACAACGTGTTACTCTACATAACAACAGGAAAATCATGCTTTTCACTTCACAAAACTCCTACCAGAGGAGCAGCAACAGAGCACAATTCCCTTTCTATCTTTCTTTTGTGATGACACTTTTGTTTCTATAGGGTTCAGCACCCTGGTTTTGTCCTTGCTTATGAGGTGGCTCGCCTACTGTATTCAAACAAATGAATCTTTGCTGGAGAGATTTTAAATTTGAGACCGAACTTCAAGATGTACTATAAAAGACTTAGGTTTGATTCTTAAGCTTTGGCGCCATCTATTGAGTATGTGTTTCTCTTCTTTAGCATGTCTTTCTGATATCATGTCACCCTGGATTGCCCAACATTACTGGACACCAACAAGGACCAAGGCCCATAGTGGCCTATGATTCTGAGGTCTTGAGTGCTGCTTCCATTAGAAGTGCCTTATTTAAAAAATTCCCAACATAAGTCAGCTCCAGATTCTATTTTGATCAAGGAAATGCAGCACAGTAGTGACAATTTCACCTTCTTTGAATAAAATGTTTTTTAAGCATGTGCTGTTAAGAATTTTTAACCTTAATCATATAGTATGATACATTTAGTTTTAGGTAGAGTGACAGTGGAGCTTGCATTTAAAATGGACTGTTCACTAGGACCGATGGTATTTTTCCAACTGTATCCAATGAAATAAGGTACAATATTCATTAAATGTTTGCTAAAGGGTTTCAAAAGTCACTGAAAAGGGAAAGTTGAGCAAATTGATCACTGAAATGTAGTATTATAAAAACGTAGTCTCTTATAATAGATTCATAATAGTCTAGTATCCACAATCCTGAAAGTAAGTTAATACTGCTAAGTACTTCAGGGTCGATAATGAAACTAGGACACAAGCACAGGATATAAACTTAAGCCACTTAGTCAAGGTTCTGATGATTCTCTGGAATCTTTCAAAAAATAACTAGATAAACTATATCAGATCAATATGCCACTAGCATCCATACAAGTAAATGATTACTGCAAATAGACCTAATGGCCTTGTAGATGTGACATATGCTTACCAGCCTGGCAGCAAGTAAAGTTAAAAAATGTTATAAGAAATCTAGCACTTAAATGATGCCATCAGTCTGTCTTTACTATAATAATAAAATATACGCCTTTGTTTTTTTTCCTGAGTATTGTGAACTCATCAGACTGATTCTGAGAACATGAGAATTAAAGAAAGGCTTTTGTGCCTCCCTTTTTTAACTAATGAGTTCACATACTGTACTTCTGCACACCCATCCATATGAGTTATATCCAGGTTATTCAAGGAGAAATAATGGATTTCTGACTGGGTGGCTAGGATAAAGAACCAGTGAATCATTCAATGAGGAAAATGATTTTCTCTTCCTAAACAAAATTTTAAATTGTGCAAACCTTTTTAAGTGGCAGCTCTTGTTTGTAATGGCTCATCTGTGCCTTTTATGCTAACAAGCAAACTGTACATCCTTTTTCCAAGTTTGGCTGAACAGGCTTTACCTTCTTCTCCTCTTGCAGCGCCACCACTTCGTGATACCGTGGGATAAAGAGCTCCTGCTTCTGCTCTTCCTTCCTGATATTGACGTGCTCATAATGTAGTGCACTCTCTCTGCGAGATTCAGAGGGAGATTTATGTTTCATTGACTTAAACGGCAGGAGGAAGATCATCTCTTAAGTCAATCAATTTGAAATGCTTATCACAGTGTTATGTATCTGCTGTGGGAGGCAAATGATTCAAGTTTTTTTTCTTTTTCCACCCATCTTAATTGTGCTGAGTGCAGGTGAGGCTCAAACTTGCTATAAAGATACTGATGATGCTAAGAAGTTCAATAAAAAAGTCTAGACGGAGTGTGAATTTACAGTTGTGCACTAATAAATGGATAATTACTAGGGATACATTTCATAACCATTAAATCATAAATTAAAGGATGGATTATATGATTTAAATAAAAATAAAACTACTATGACCCCAGGAAAAAAATTTAATTATTTTATGTTCAGTCTTTGGAAATATATTTAAGGTTTGCAAATGATTCAAGCATTGCCAATGAAAAAGTAAGCACTGCGAATCATTTATTCAGATTTAAAAGAAAGTCTAATGTGTCACAAAGTGTGTTAGTTAGCGAATGCAGACTGAAGCCTCTGTCTTTAAAAAAAATCTCTTTTATCTGATTTAACTTCTGATTCATTGTACCATGTGTGGTTTTGAGTTTAATTCTCCCTGTCAGAAGTAAAAAAAGTAAAGATATGCTATGGGTGTTAACAGAAACATATGCACTATACAGTACATACAGTACGTATCTGATTACAGTATTTGTTTCAGTTTCACCAGAGCAGAGCTAGTGATTCTGGAGTCACTTCACACATACTGTATTGTGGTTTACAGCATCCAAATCATAACTTGCCTGTAAATGGAAAGCATTTGCTGCTTTAACCACCAGAGGTTGCTGTTTCATACCCCAAAATATTAGAAGTCCATTTTTAAAGGCCATTATCCTATTGGCAATAAGAAATGTGCTTGGCTGCATTAGTATATACTGTATGTGTCTGCAAATAAAAGGGTCCAAGAGAAAAATTATCACTATATGTAAAACAGATTAATATATAAATAATACATAAACCAGAGCAATCCCTTTGATTGTTGTAGCAATTGAAAAATTAGACTTGCACAGCAAACTATAATAGATGAGTGTGATATTTAAAACTGTTCATGACACTGAGAAACACTATTTCATCCTCACTGTAGTTCTGAAAGTACTTTCTGTAATCTCCCGAGCATCAGTAACCCTGTGATCCCTGTGATCTTTCTATTGGGAAGGGTAAATTTCTTATTGTGGTTCGGTTATTATAAAATGGTCAAATATCGGGATGTATACCTATATTTAATTACCTCTTTCTTTAAATATTTTTCAGCATATTTTAACTATCACTTGCTAGACTAAATTAGTATTCAGTAATACCAGAAAAGGATTGATTTATAAAAATATTTTTGATATTCATTTATAAAAACAAACTATTTTATTTGCTACAAATACAGGGTCATCAAACCATTAAGCAATTCAGTACATGAAGACATCGGTACCAATCAAACTGTAACATCATTATTACCAGTTTTGAGTAAAGCTGTTTTTATTTTTTTAAATAGCAGAGACTAGATCACCAAATGCACACATCACAGGGCAATGGGGGCCGTTACTCACTCCAATAGGTCGTACTCCCCTGGTCCTGGCCCCTCTTTCACTTTCAGCTCACAGCGTGCTGCAGTCTGGTTTCCAAAATGCACGCCTTTGTACTTCTGAGTTGCATAGGATTCAATCTGAAACAACACAGAGCATAGATTTCATTACTGATAACCTAATAATTACAATGAACTGTAAAGATTCTTAAAGCTAATTTTAAGTGCTTTGTACAGTATTGAGGGAAACAGCATACATTTTCACTCTTCTCATTAGCAATGAAGAATATAATGAATATTACATTTGGACTCAACAGTTTGAACAGCAGTCTATATCAGAGATCTGCAGCTCTGGCCTTGAAGGCACTCCTACAAATGTATTGTATTATACTGCGGTAAAAGGAGCATGAACTACAGTATAAGAAAGCACAGTAAAATTGAGGTAAAGCATGATCAAACACAGAGAGGCACAGTAAAGCATGCAAACCTTGGGAAGTAAGTAAACACATTATTGAAATGAGGGAAAACACACGGAGCAAATTTTGCTTTGAAAACAAAGAAGCAATTGTGTTATGACGCAACAAGTAAGATAATGTTATTTTCTTGTCTGCACTGCAGTTATGGTCTTTTCTCAGTGACCTATACAGTATGGAGGAGTTAATTGCTTCTATTGGAACAAGTAGCACCAAACCTACTTTAGCTACTTTATACAGTACATTTCTCTGGTCTCTGCTCATTTTTATGACAATTGCCGCTTGATGGACACATACTACAGATTCCCTACCATCAGTTTTAAAGACATTACACACAATGTGCCCATCAGAAAAAAATACCCTTTATATTTTTAATAAGGGGAATACAATAGGAGATTGTATTGTTAGATGAGGGACCCAGCCCTACAGTACATATTTTGTGAATATGTTTTTACTCTTTAATGATTCTACTTCAACAAAGGTAGGGGCTGGTCTCAAGAGGTCAAGGATGGGAAGACTGTTGTTACCATTCATAGTCACCGTCATTACTGTATATGCTGTACATTGCACTTTAAAGCAATTCCAGATTTGCTGTTCCAAAATTGTATGACTTACCTGCCGTGTGCAAAAAATGCTTATTTTCACCAATGTCTACGAAGACACTTCCACATAATTTTCTCAATTGTGATATTTTATTTAACAACACTATGCAAACGAGGATGGTCATTGTAAAAATGATCATGGCTATAAGAGCTGTGGTGTTATATTCCAGTAAATCCACCTTTCACAGGGAGAAATCTTTTGTTAAAGACATTCTAAACATACAGTAATTGGCAATCATTGAATACGAAGAAATACTGCATCCAACATGGATGATTTAATTCTTACAAGCTGAACTGCAAAGAATGGATGAAGCTGACTGCTACATTTTAAACATTTGGTTTCTTTGATTCTGTTCAGAAACACTTCATTTGCCACTACTAAGTTGCTATATTTACATTTTAACATGTAACAATACCATACCAACATTTTAACAGCAACATGCTGTTAATATTATTAAAATCTCTCAAATAAGCTACAAAAAAAAATAAACATACAGGAGTGCATTACCCTGGTGGTTTTACTATAAACATTTTTAAAACAATATAATTGACTGTTTAATAGAATTAACTGATATTCATATTTATTAAATTTTGTCACCTGCTGAAAGTGTCCTTCCTGCTTGTACACATTACCTCAAATATAAAAGAAAAACATATCAATATTATTTTACAGAGTATAATTTCTTCAGAAATTGTATTTGTTCATGTCATTGTATAATCGTACAATCATGACATGTTAGATGTGATCAATTTTAGAACAACTTTTTTGGCTTCTTATATGTCATTGCACTGATAGTGAGTCTTACAGACAGGGACATTTGAAAGCAGAGTACTTCATCATGGTTAGGACAGGAATAATTTGTCCCAATAGTTTTATCACTGTATATACTAATTATTACTGTATATCAGTAAATCTTAGAAATGGAATGTATCTTTTTTTCCTAATGTTAATAATTTATTATGTGAAATCCACCAAGGTTAAAATGAATATTTCTTCAGTGGGAGAGAAAGATAAAATTTAACACAGAGAATCTAGCTACTTTAAATTCAATTTGAGTCTTATAGCCTTCCTGCTGGCAATTCCAATAAGACTAAACTTGTTTTTATACTTTATATTAGTCTATTAAACTTGATCAGTGCCACTGAAATAGAAAATGAATACCACTTGGTGAAGAAGTCAGAAGAACAATAACTACACAGTTGTCAGAGTGAAAAGTTGATTCTGACATCTACAGGACTTCCTACTGAGCTAAGTACAAGTAATATCTTGAGATCTCTTTGCATAGTAACCCTTAAGAAACATGGAAATGTCACAGTCTGAAAAAAGGATACACTTACAATATTTATTCATTCACAGGATATGTGCATTTTAAGTTCCAAGTTTATTGCTAGAGAATCCTACCAATATACTTAATTCAACCAGAAACATCTATCACAGAATTTGAATGAGCTTGTTAAATGCAACAGATGTATCAAGGATAGAAAAGTATTGAATCATTGTCTTCTTTTATTGTAAATGTTTCAAAGGTTCTGTTTGTGATGGCTGACATTTTAAAATCACTGTTCCAAAATAATGCAATTAGACACGAACTTAACTTACTGACCCAAGCATCTTTAAGCTGAATCTTACATCTATCACAGGATTAAAAGCCCTTAAAAGACAGCTGAAAATAAATAAAGAAATAAATAAATTGATGCACTCTTGATAACCCTAAATCACTAAGCTCTTTATGCCTCAACTCAAAGTGTTGACACAACCTACTTCAAGGTCACTGTTGACTTGGTTAGTCATTAGAAAATAAAATATGGTTTAATTGAAGCAAAGTCAGCATGGTGCTGCATTATTTTAAGTGAATATTGTAATATAACTTGAAGAAGAATTACTAATAGTTCCTTATGTTGACATCAAAATGGATGAACAAGGTGCTTTGCAACTTTTTAAAACGATGCTCCCATAATTAAGTATGGAAATAGATTCTGCAAAGAATTAAGGGTCCCAGTGGTGCATTAATTTAGCCGCTAATGGACTGCTCGCCGGTCCCATCACACACAGGTAGTTCACTTTGTAAGGGCCACGGTTGCCAATATGTCAATGTCAGTGGCGTGGCTGGTATAAAAGCCAGGCAAGCTTCTTTATGTTTTACAGCTCCCTGAGCTTAAAGAAAGAGAGTCAAGATGCTCTGAATGCATGCTAAGCATACATAATGCCACATTCCATCCAGAGAGCATCGCATCATTAACAGCTGTGTTATTTTCACGGGTGAAAAGGAATACACGTTGGTACAGTTTTAATTTTGGCAGAATTGCAGAATGGGCAGTAAGAGCATTTAATATACAGTATATATTCTGTTACTTCAAACTCTGAAAACACATGACAATCTTGTGTAACAATTTTAATGGTGTTAATGCTTAAAATGGCATTTACAGCATTCCATTTAAAGGTAAGCAGGGGAGGAAATAATGGGAGAAGGCTAAATTATTGCTTTTTAGTGAAAATGTCTACTGTTGGGAAAGAAACAACTAGCGTATCTGTTTACTTGTAATTATTGATTTGAGGACTTACTGAAAATCTTTCCTTGAGGAGAATATGCTTTTACTTTCTACATACAGTAATTCTGCAGCAAAAAAGTCCTTGTGGCATGATTTTTAAATCATATGTTTATGTTAGGATGCAAACTGATAAGCGAGGAGAAAATTAATTTATTCAGTTATTTATTTAAACTCAGTCCTTGAAGAGTGACGATTACTTTTATAACTGTATCTACAGTTTATGGATTTCACTGCAGCAAATGTTAGTAGAATCTGCCTCCAATTAAAAATTTGACAATTCAGAATTCCAGGATTTTCTTAAATGAGACAACAATCTTGTAAAGACAAAAAATAAATTAAAAAAAAATCTTTAAGCAGATCTAATAAATCTATACAAAATAATAAATCTGCATGTACAGTTTTTTAACTCAGTTGCTTAAAAGCTGTTCCTGAAAGTGTGCTGACAAAAAAGTGAACACTGTTCAAAAGAGTGAACAAACATCCCCAAACTCTATTTCGGTTTGCAAAATAACACGTTACCAGAGTGAAACACCCTAAGATACTTGGTATAATATTTACCACAAAGCCCAAAATCAAAATCTACCCAAAAAAACGATAGTGTCAGTAAATGGGAATCTCTCTTTCTCAGTGTTTAAACAGCGCCTTACAAAATACTATCAACATCAATGTGACCCTGAGTGCATGTTCATCTACAGTACCTTACAGTCCAACTAATACTGAATATCACTGAAAGTGTAATTACTGTGTTAAAAACAGTAATGTCAATAAGGAAATTCCCACACAAAAAAACACAAACATATAACAAAAAGCAATACATTCAGGAACAGGTAGTGTTCATTTAGAAATATGTAACCAATGCACATGCATAAAGTGAAACAATGAAATATTGTAAATCTCCTGCAGTTACAGGTATGTCCCCACAACCAGTGTTTATTGCTCCCAGCAGAGACATCTGATCATGAGATCACAAACCTTTCACCTCCATGCAGAGAAAAACTGCTCAATGGGGTTAAAGAAGGGGGAAGAGGGGTTGGAGGAATTCCATAGCCATGGTGAAATGGCAAACCATTCCCTGACGTTCTCCCACACCACAGGTCAGACTTCACCAGCTCTCTCTCTTCAACAGGTATATGACCATTGTGCAAAACATCTATAACAGATTACCTGTGTTGGGTGCCTGGTGGGGGGATGTGGGCAGTGACATCATCATCTGATATGGCAGTGCACATGGTTGATATTTGCTTTCCTCCTCCTTTTACCCATCCCTTGGCCCCTGCTCTACCACAACACATTCAGAGCCCCTCATCCTCTTCAAACTACGTGTTCCCGTTCCGTCTTTCAGCAGCACTAACTCACTGCTAACCTAATACATATGTGCTTAAGTATTGATTGGTCGTTTTGGCAGTTAGGATTTATACCTCTGTGGTAAGATTGAACACACATGAGATTGGTTGCTTTCAACTGTGAATTAATTAATTCATTTTGTTTCACAAGTCTTTCTCAATTGGTTTGTGTGTCAGCTGCAGAGATTTTATTTATTGGTTTGCACAAATGTGCTTGATTTTGAGTGAACACAATCACAAATAATACAGCGTTTTGCAAATCATATTGCTGTTGTGGGGTTTGCATTAACAGCTTTGAAAATATACATAATGTTTCAGGAATTTCACTCACATTTCGAATGAGAACAACTGGTGCTCTAAGTTACCCACAGGTAAAAAAACAGTCAACAAAATAGTGTTTAAAATTAGCTGGGGTGATAATGTAGTATTCAATGGTAAATCCTTCATGAGGTGTAGTAAAGCACCCTGAAATCATAGTAAAAGCATGGTGGAAAATAATCATGCAGGCTAAAACAAAATGAAAACAGTGGGAAAATATGAAAAAAAGCTAATGTAATTTTTGACAGCCATGACAAAGTTGTTAATGCATGGTGTAAATGTGGTAAAACCACAGGTTTAACCATGACAAAACCATGACAAAGCAGTAAATTAAATTTGGTTAAACCGTGGCAAAACATTGAAACCACTACACATATTTACAGCATCAGGATTTTGCCACCTTCTCAGGAGCAGACGTTTTCCTTACTGTCAAATCGTGAGCAAAAAAAAAGATGAGATACGAGAAGATATGAATTAACTTGTAGACCTTTTGGAAAATAAATCTTTGTTTAAAAACTCATATATTCATATACTCATATATACAAAAAAAGTTGTTCAGCACTGTTGGAATGATCTTAACATTTATCATCTACTGTGAAATGTAACATTTTAGACTTATATTTGTAGAAGGAAATCTATTTTGAATCCTTTCATTAGTTATCCACAGGGACATTTCTGCTGCTATGCCATTTATTTTTCATACCATCTCAGACAGGCAAGCAGCTATTATCCTTAAAGGTGGCCAGATGGAGAATCTCATATCATAATAAGTGCCTCTGAGGTTACAACTATTTCTCAAATCAAAGCCCACTCCACTTTCCAATGAATGTCTGCCCAATGTTTCTCACTGAAGGTCAAAACCACATTTTTTGTTAAACAAAAGGAAAAGGGCAGAATTCTAATAATAAAAACAAGCATTCCTGGACATTTTTCAAGTTTCTGTCCTCTCCAGCTGGTTTTAACTCTGTTATTAAATTTGTTAAGCCATGTTTTTAATTAACACATGGTTATCTGCTGACAATGAAACAATTCTTCCACTTATGCCTTGGTTAAAGAAAAGTGATAATTTTGCTTGCAAAACTCAGGAAGATGCGATCACTGCAAACTTCCTGTTGGATTAATCACAGACACTCTGTCTGATGACACACCTTGTCCAACTTGTGTATGAATAGCAGTAAAGCCCATTTTTTTCTCATAAAAGAATATCTCTTAAATTGCAATTGGCCCATCATTTTTTGTGCTGGATGAAGAAAAAGTTATGGGAATTTAATTATTCCTCATGTCTCTCCTCAAGTGCTGTGCATGAGTTTTGTTTGACAACTAATTGGGCAAATACAGTCAAAATATTAAAATTACCACTGTGACTAAATAATATGATTATACTTTATGTTTATGTCTTTATATTGCATGCAAATATATCTGTATATTTATTATTTTACATTGTTTAAACAACAGGCGGCATTTGTCTTTGATGGTACTTTGACAGTTTTTAAGGTTAATTTCTAACTGCTTATTTGACAACATTTTTCAAAGTCAAAGTACACATACATTGTTTTACTGTCAACCCCCCTAGTTTTTAATTAATTTAATTGGGCAGTAATTTTTAATTATCCAAGACACAATGCATTTACATACAGTGAGCCTCCTTCTGATACAACTTTATTTTTTTAATCTCTCTGATGGACACCCAATAAACCCTGGATATTTTTCCAGGCTGTGTGTATTTAAAGCCCTAATTCACTGAGGAAGCTTGGCCACAGATGGGTATACGTCATTTCGAATAATAGGGCAGCTTCAACAAGAGTAGCATTCTGATAATGAAGTACGTGGGTGTTCGAGGGAGTTCGAGGACTTCTTAAAGAAGCAGCATCTTTCACGATGACAGCTGTTTGGAGAGTGTAGGGGAGAATTTGGAGCACAGGCAGCGCCTGAGGCCTGATATAATCGAGATTTTGTGAAGGTCTGTAGTTCACGAAACACTGAAATACACATTCTTGAGTTGCACCTGCCCAAAACAGACATTTTACTTTTTACCTTACATTGAACTGCTCTCCATTCAATTTTACGTTCTCCATTCAATTTTATGAATATTTAATGTTGAATTAATGCATTTATCATAACAGCATGGTTGTGAAAAGTCTATCTTTATAAAAGAACACAACAGAGTCCATAGCACATGTGAGACAAATAATTCAAGGTATTCAAGGTACTGACTCATTGTTCTAATTGTAAATTCTACATGGCCCACCCTTGTCCCTCACAACACTGTAATATAATCCTTTGATTCGCCTTGCTGAAGGTTGCTTAATTTCCCCAATGAACTACTGTCTGAAGGGTATGAATGTAATCTATGTGCTGACCCTGGGCATCATATTCCTTCATAAAACCCAAAATAAGTAACATGCCATCAGGATCCCTTGGGGATGGGGTCTGTTCATAAATCACACTGCTTAACTCTTTTTCAAGCAGTTTTCAAGGTGAGCCCAGGCGTTCACATCTTACTTAGGTGTTCACAGAGCAGAGTCTGTTTCCAACACGACAACATCTGCTTACAAGAGATTAAAGGGTTTCAGAGATATGAAGGCAGAGTGACACAAAATGTGCTCATAGTCAAGTCAAAAGGAGTCTGTGTCCACAATACAAAAGAAACAATGCCAAAACAAAACAGTTACAAAATGTATTCAAAATATTTTTTAAATTTAAATTATGATGGCTGTGGCACAAAACAAGAATGTGATATTCCTCATAGTCCATCCATTGAATGACACATAAAAGCAAAGGCGAGTTACGAGTAACTTGGCAGCAGGTGTTAATGCAGAGCTAACCCCATAGTATTTGTAAGTGGCTGTGAACGAAAGCCTCAAGCTACTGTATGTAGCTAAACAACTGACAGGGATGCCAATGGTGTGCATTACTTGCCGGACAGAAACACACTGTTAATGGCTCACTGTAAGTCATGTTCTAGGTGCACATTGACAAAATTCTTTCACAATCAGCTGACGTATGGTGACACTCATCTGTGGGCAACTAACAGGACCTCTGCCAGCAGCACAGAAGACTGCAGTTCTCAGGGTCCACTGGGACAAAGGCAGTATACAGTATATTGTAAGGATTGCAGAGTTTTGCAAAGAGGGATGTTATCCACTACCTCTTCACACCTTCACAACATGACCCCAATGCTGCAGTAATTGGGGTTTGTTTTACAGAGTTGTGAGTTGGGCTATGGAGGGACTTCCTACTGGTCAATAACTTGGTGAACTAATCAATGTGGATAGTTTGGGTGTTTACTTATTTCAAAGAACAGTGTGCAATTTTCTGTAAAAATTAAAGCACACACCTTTACAGGATAGTTTTGTACTGGCAGAAACTGTAGCTGTTCTTGTTGGTGCAGTTTTCTTTAAATGATCACCACAGGAGACGCCAGGGGCTAAGTTTACATACAGTATATGCAGTAATTTCTAAATCACTTTGTCAAAGGAATGTCTGTAATAGGTACTACAACAGATCAAAGGCAGATTTTTGTTTTTATTCCTAAATGGAGGCAAGGCTAAAATGTGCTTTAATCTCACACTATTGAAAAAAAGCATTTCTTAACTCTGCGTAAGAGAAGCAACATTTCTTTCACCCTTTCCACAAAGTAATTGCTCTGGCATAAGTGCAGTCACATTAGCTTCGGGAAAGAGGTCACTAATTAAAACAAAATGCAAAAGATTTTCAAGAGAAGTTCGTCATAAATGTAGAGTACATACCAGAAAAAACACAAGACATTGCAGAGAAAAAAAACATAATACCTGATTCACCACTGGGAGTTTGATTTTTCCTTCTCATTTTAAAAATAAATTAATTATATGACATTATCTATAAATATAAATGTTTATACTAATAATATCAGTAATATATTTTCTGTATTCATGCACTTAGACTGCAAAAATATCTTCACCTCAACCATACAACAAGGTTACCTAAGAAAAGAAGTCTAAGGACATAGTAATTAGCATCTGTAATGTCAAACATCTATTAGAATATAATGCTTTCCCCTGGTGTACTTTTGAAATTATGATGAGAATTCACACTTTGAAGATAGATCCTTTAACTAGAATATCCAGATGTCTTGAGTAAACTTAAATTCCTTTAATGACTAAACATACTGCAGTAATCTCTTTTAAAAAATGTTACCAGAATTTAGACTGTAATAGAAAGGTCTTGTCTCTTAATGGAAGCAGTCCAGAACAATGACTGCAGATCAGGGAACTCTTAAGGCGTAACACTTCTTGGAAGATCTCTCACTGATGCATAAACAATGCCAAAGCCTGAAAGAGCCTCCCCACACAGTCTGGTCATTTTCTCCTTAATGCTCTGAATGTGACGAAGTCTCCAGCCAAGTGCTGCCTCTGCAAAGTGACATGTGAGGCACAAACCTGCCAAACTCACCGGCCCAGGATTGTAGAAAGCTGGTCCCAGGGTTTCATCCCTAGGATGTGGGGGCTGCTTGTGGAGCACGCCATCTTCGTTTTCCTCATATCCATAGGCCTGCCCCGGGGAGGGGATTGAAGGAATGTCACGTTTCTGCAGGTATCTGATACGACTCGATGCCCCCTGAAGAGTACATACATATATTCATGTCTTAGTTCTTTAGAGCCACAGTGCCATAATCCTACAGCTTCTCTCTCACAAAAGCACATCAACAAAATTGGAACAAAGCAACTGTACCTTTCTCAAGCTTCTTTTTGCAGGTGTGTCTTCCACAGGTTTTCCTGCTCTCACTCCTGACACAGCTGGAATAACATCATAAGATCCGGGTCCTGGCACATCGGAAAAATGCTCTTCGAAACGTTTGGACCTGTTCTGAATGCTCCTTCCACCCAGAATATGCTTCTGCAACATCACCATCATTATTATTATTTTTATTTTTATTATTATTAAAGTTTGATATTTTAACCATATGTACTTAAATTACAGTTTTACAAGTTATATTACAAGTTACATATTTCAATAATAAGTGCCGCAATGTACACGGGAGAGGTTACAAGATACAGGAGATCTCTTTTCTGTGTAGCACCATAGAGCTAACTGTGGGAGAAAGAGAGCTCATTTGTCCACACTGCTCAGGGGAAAATGATCAGGGTTGAAATCTAGTAATGTTTTTTTACAGGAATAAACTCAGAGGGTGCATTATATTACCTACATTTTTTGAGACACAGAAGGAACTTGCACACACAACAAGAAGGAGAACTCAAACTCTGCACAAGCAAGCACCCCGGGCTACAGTCAAAACACAGGGCAGCAGTGCTGACCACCATGTCTTCATGCTGCCCCCCTCAGTGTAATGTATTGTGTTTTATTTATATGTACAAACACAGTACCTAGGAAAACTGAACAGTAGTAATTTATGGATAAAGATTGCAGTGGAAGTCGGGGTGTGACACCTGATTTTTAACACAACATGAAGCATTACAAGCTATGTAATTAATTCCTTTCTTTTATAAGAATACAAATTGCTCTTCCAGGTGAATTAAGGGAGAACTTTAAAGAGTTCATACTGTGCAAGCCCAGAGTGGAATTTAGCCAGGACATGAGTTAATACATTTCCGAACAGTGCTATGAGATCCTTAATCACCAGGTAGTCAGGACTACAGTTTAACATATATTGTTCTTATGATAACAATAATAATAAATCTTCCATCTAATAGGCAAGAGGACAAGGTCATGACTTGCAAAGAGAAAAGCAGGGCAAGGCATTAAGCTCCTCACTTTACATCCTACAGCACATTAATCCAATTGTTATTTAGAGTGTCTGTGGCGCAATTGGTTAGCATGCTTGATTGTTCAGCAAATGGTTGATGGTTCAAGACCACACAGGGGTTCTGAGAGCTTTAGTCAGCAGCCATATCACCCACCAACTCACAACTGGAAATCCACTGAAGCTAAGCAGGTGTGAGCCTGGTCAGTACCTGAATAGGAGACCTCCTGGGAAAACCTAAGGCTGCTGCTCAAAGAGGTGTTACAGGGGCCAGTAGGTGGTGCTCACCCTGCAGTCCATGTGGGTCCCCATCACTATACCGTAAAAAGGCGCTGTCCTTCAGATGAAATGTGAAACCAAGGTCCTGACTCTCTGTGCCTCTCAAAAAGAGTAGTGGTGGCTTCCTAATAATCCCCTTCTATGAACTGACTTCATTACTCTGTTCTCCTCCCCACTGATAGCTGATGAGTGGTGAGGGTACTGGCGCACTATGGCTGCCGTTGCATCATCCAGGTGAATGCTGCACATTGGTGGTGGTCAAGGGGAGTCCCCATTACCTGTAAAGCACTTGGAGAGGAGTGCCCAAAAAAAAGCTCTATATAAGTGTAAGGAATTATTATTATTAAAACTACTAAATAGGAACCCATCCCAATAAAATGCTGATCTTAATGTCATATGCACTAACAAAGCAATGCCTATAGAGGACATTCTGCACAAATGACACAGAATAAAGTACCTTTAGAGGTGAAACATCATATTGGCCTGGGCCAGGAGCAGCGACATCTGCATTTGAAGGGTTAAAAAGCGTTTCTCTGCTCGAAAGGGACAGAAATGGGGCATAGCAATCTGCAAACAACACAAACAAATAGCTTAGTCAATGCATTAAATGACTGCAACAAATTATTGGGAATAAACTAGGGCTGACAACAAGTAAAATAAATCACAGAATACTAGTTCATGCTGAGAATGAGTTTTTCCTGTACAGATTCAATATTGTTTCAGTATTCCTGAAAATAAACTAAAGATACAGAAATTTTGCAGCTTTTTCCCACTTTTTTTGTTTTGTCTTTCTCTACAGTAGAGACCTAGTAAAAAAAAGCTAAATATCTCGAATTGCTTATACAAGAGGTTTTGTGTGCATACTACACACACATTTCTTACGATGATGAAAATAACGATAATGCACTGAGATGAGGTCTGTAAGCTGTGCCAGTGCCCAAGACATAAAAGCCTCCAGCACTCTCTACTGTCAATCACCTCTATCAGCACTGTGACAGACCCAGACTAAAGCTATGCAGCCAATGAAAATGTGTTCTCCCTGTAATTACAATATATTTAATTTCATCCTGGGATCAATGCTTTCACAGAAGATGCTACCACCTGCTTACAGCCCTTTTGAACTTAGCTCGCTACCAGAAAAACAGCTAATATTTAATGACACAATAAGTCTGTTCTTGTAGCCGTGAACTCTAATGAGCACGAGCGCTAAAGTGTCTTGTGTTGAGACTGAAGTAGTCAGCCTTAAAATAAGCATCTACTTTTTATAGCATTTTCCATCCCAGAAAATCAAAGTACTTTATAGCTCTACGGGAGAGGGCCCAATTCACTTACCACAAACGCTCTGCACCCAACCCTGGTGATACTGTACACAGCTCCCAATCTGCACCAGCCGCCCCAGGTGGAGAACTGAGAATCTGCTTCACTAGTTCAATTAAGGCAAGACTATAGGAAGGCTAGTTTGCACAAGCCCAGAGTGAACTTCAGCCAGAACCCTGGGGGTATAACCCCCACACTTATGAAAATATATATCTTTAACGGGCAAGTAGCCAAAAACTCGACTCATTTCATCCTTCATTGAAAGGATGGCACCTGCAACAGCGCTGCTCTTCGTATGAGATAGACTAATTGTGTTTTGTTGAGTAATCTCTAAACTATTTACTGTGAAAAAAAACACATTCGGTTTCTTTCAATAGGCTGTCCATTCTTGGTGCGGTATTTTTACAAGGCCATATTCAAAATATGCCAAGGCGGTCAGGTGTGGAATGTGTCCAATCGCTGCTTCAATTTGTTTTGAGGGAATAAGGACGTTTCTGTAGCAACTATAAATGTAATCACTATATGTGTAATTCCCAGCTTCAGTCACTGATTGCTTATTATTTGAATTCATTGGGTCAGATTTATTCTAAAATAATTCACAATGCTTGTTTCGTTTTTGTAATTGCAACGTTATGCTTGCAGTGCCATCTACTGACAGCTAATGGAAACTGTACAAAGAACATTGCAGCAAGAACTTTTACACTGCAGACGTTTCTCGGATGTTCAATATCAATTTCGTTATCTCATACATTTTTGACATACAGTACTTCTTAGGTTTATAAGAATTCCTTTTCTGCAGAGACTTTAAATATTGGACTTAAAATACTGAAGCTTCTTAATACTATTTAATTCTGTGCACATATGAATCCCACTTGGTGCGCAGTGGCTTTAGTAAAATACAGTAGCCCTGAGTTCTCTGTTGCTCCCGCTAATGTACGGTGATTAAATAATAAGTGATAAACGGATTGAAATCAAATCATTTAATCAGTGTTGTTGTTGCTGTTTGCAGGATGTGATGATAATTGACTTTGTGAAGAGGTTATTGTCTTGAAGGAGTCCCGAACACCTCGCATCTGAATTACGGAGGTAATTACCGCTTCTTCCCAGCTGGTTCTCAGTGTGTGGGAGTGTGGGGGCGGTGGGTGTGCAGACCTCACTTACCAGAAGGGCTGCTTGAGTTTCTGCATCCCGTGTTTGTCACCTATTAAGCTCTTTCTACAGACTAATTACCTGATCAGCAGTACGCAAAAGCAGTATCCTGAAATACAGACAGATTTCTGAACACTGCCGATTCAGGATAAATAATACTATGTTGTTTACAGATACTGCAGTACCCAAAGTACCCCCAAAGAATAAAACTGAATTAATCGATCTGTATATACAGTATTATTCCTGTACTAGCAATGAATACATTTGGTGCCCTCTAAATTGATCTGTGCGTAACCTTCAATATGTACTGAAGTATCAGCAGTTATTTATTTTTTAAGTACTGCATTTTTTTTTTACTATATAGAGACCAGTTTATTTTTTTCTCAACAGCTGATAACTGTATCTATGAATGTATTGTAACGCTTACGCCGGCAGATCTCTCTTTGGCTCACGGGGCTAGGTCGCTGCAGAGAGACGCGGAAGTCCCGGGTTCGAGCCCCGGACGGTGCAGGGGCCGACCTAATGCGGCAAGGGCGCCCGCCTGAGCCCCCGTTGCGTTACAGTATCAAAGGAGGGTGTCAGCTTTAGTGTGCTACAGCATGTGTCGCCTCGCAGCCAGCTCATTTCTAAGTGCCCAGCGCACCAAGGCCGAAGACAAGTCCCGCCCGTGGTTTGTGCCCACGAAGGTCTTACCTGCTTTGTTTGACTCGAATTTTCTCACGTCATAGGAACCGGGTCCCACTGCAGGTGCAGTGCTTCCTACCGTAGCACAGGTGACCCTTGGGGCTTTGTCATACATTTCTAGCTAATTATTTCTTTCAAGAAGTTTCAGGCGAGTAAAAGCGTCAAAACGGGCACATCACGCATATAAATACACTAATTAAAACGATTTAGTCAACGAAAGTCAATCAAGAACATCTTCAATACTGAGCTTACCCAGTTATTTATTAAAAATAAATTAAAGATCAGAAAAATTGTTAAATAATAGTAACGTTCTTTTATCTTTGTCTACTGTTTTTTAAGCTACAAATAAGTTAGCCAAAGTCTTCCAAAGAGTTTTCCCAAAGGCGCTGTGGGCTGAAGTCCTGCGTGTTGTGAGCCGTTGCCTGGACACCGCTCACGTCAGCAGCCCGTCTGTCCAGACACAACAGGGCCGTGCGCTGGAGTCCGAAGACTGAGGGGTGACGTCACAACGGCGGTGGCGCTCCGCTGTAAACTTAACATAGTGTACCATGAAGGATGCTGCTTGCCTTCATAATTACACACACGATTCACGCGTATTTGTCACCAGAATTTTCAGTTTAAGTTCAATGCCATAAAGGGTCAGCGCGTTGCCTAAATAGAAATAAAACAATAAACACGAAGAAACTAAAAATATTAACACATTTAATACATCAACTGCATAAATTAGTAAAAAAGGAGATAGATACCTATTGTAAACTGAGACGTTCAGTCATTTAACACAATGCTGTGCTTAGTAGCGGTATCACGCTGTTTTTTCAACGCTACTACAATTCTTCTGCTTATCCTTATTCTTAGTTCGCAATAGGACATACCACTAGAGGGAACTATGTATCCAGGAGACTAAAAGTCTCTACCGTGTAGACTCTAAACCTCTACCGTGCGAAGAGAATATGAGAATAAGTGCGTTCATCCAAACAATGCATTTAGAAGACTAGGATCCAACCGGCCTGTACTGCAAAAAGTAAAGAAATGCCATCGATCTGTTGAGGTTTTCTATCATTTTGTTAATTGCATTTATTGAGGCTTACAGGGGGGCCTTTGTGAGGGGACCCTCTTCATTCCCAATTGAAGCCTGCTCAATAGCCCCACTGCTCAGCTGCTCAGCTGCTCAGGTGGAGAAATAAGTCAGCAAAACCCAGATTGCTCATGCTGAGTGGAATTTAGCCAGGACATTGGGGATAACTCCCTACTATTGCAAGCTTATCATGGATTTAATTGATATGTCTCATATCTTGCTACGTCTTCCAGAACTACACCAAAATTATGAAGTGGATATTTAGAAAGTGGATTATTAATTTAGAAACTTTAGATTTAGATATTTAGAAACTGGATTATGAATGTTATAGTTTCTCTTTATAGTATATAGTACACTCTTCAGTGCCTGTGGATAAAGAGAAGTTTCATTCCATTCAAGAAGGCAATTATATCACCACTACTGTTTAGAAGGTTTAGCTCCACTTAAGTATTAGAGAGTGACAGCATTAAAGACAATACACTCACCAGACTGGTTCTTAATTTCTATTGTAATCTTTGCAACTGGCTCACTAATAGTATTAATTCCAACGGCCGAATATGTGTTGGCCAAGAAAGCCATAATTATGTTTTCATGGTTACCACCGAGTCCAGCATAATAACGAATCACAGACAGGAACGTGCGGAACTGTATGTCTGCGAGTAACAAAGAGTTGTTAAAAAGTGCCTTGGTATGATAGGACAACCTCGATTGGCAAATACTGTACATTTAAAAATGTCACCAGTTAGATAAACCGTTGGTGCACTTGTAAACTTTTTTAGGATAGATTAAAGCTGAACCCTAACTTAGATTTAACTTCTAGATCTGCCCTAGGTCTGTTTCAAACACAATTCTTAATCAGATTGAACTATGACCTCAGTCTGGACTGGAGAGTGTTTTGTCAGTTCTGTCACTGTAAAGTACCACACTTATAAAGACAAATGTTTTAAAACACTCAGACATTGAGGCCAGGTGACTTGAACTGGGACTAGGAGGGAATGGCTTCTCCCTACGATCAATGCAAACATGGCTGATTTATAAATGTACTGTAGCACCAAGTGTAATTTTTTTCACGTTGTCACCAACACATGGAGGTGGCTTGGGAAAGGGATATTTATTTATTTCTGTTCAGATTTCACTTTAAAATGATGCTTCTGCATGCTGGTTTGTTAGTTGTGACATCCTAAGCAAGAGAAAAAGACAAACTTTCTTATCACTCAGAAGCAATTATTTTGAAATCTGCCTTAGACACGCCCGGCCCAGTAGACTTCACAGGTCACCAAAAATTGCCAGTTCTAAAAGCATAGGAATTGTACTTTTATTGATAAAGTTAACCAATTTCTCAGTTCAGCTGAGGGACATTTGGTTTTCAAGGGCTGAAGGTTGTTCAAAATTCTATTCCATATAATCTCTGCATTATTTAATTCAACCAGGTCCTTGCTTACCTGATCACAACAAAGTTGTGCCAAGTCTTTTTTGTGATTTAATAGTTACCTATAAAACCTGCTGGACTGGAACTCCTTGGAGAGAACTGAAGCCCTTCTGAAAATGTGTCAAGCACAAATCGTCTGTCAAAGAAGTTCTCAGACTGATTTTCAGCAAAGCCATTTTTAAAAGGATGGTGGCACAGAGGGACCCCGGCCTTCTCTGTTTCCTGTGATGATTCACTAGTGTTCTTTATGAAGTGTCACTTCTGGCTGAACACAGACTGAACTACCCTAGAGCAGTGCCTGCCCTTTCCAATCAGTTACTTCACTCCAGTTCTCTATGGGTTTCCAGGCATGCTTGGTTACCTTCAAACGTCATGAAAGGATAAACAATTGGGTTGCCTTGACAACTGTGTAGCAGGGCTGACTGTGTCAACACTCCAACAGCCTGCAAACAAGCTGTGCACAATAGCAGGAAAGGGGACAGAAACACAGTGATGGCGTTTGAATTGTGGCAGCAATTAAGCATTACAAGCCCAATGGGAATTCAAATGTAAATTGACATGTGCTTCTATATAATCAATACACAGATAAAAGGTGTTGCAGTGTGTGCTGAACTGCCCGCCACCCCCTTCTGGTGATGTCATCTGCTAACAGTCCCATAAATCCCTCTGCTTTGGGCAAATGTCAATGTGGCCTGGTGGTGATATCTACAGGCAACTCCGCTTCATCTTGAGGTGCTCGTCAAAGATTGGTTTGTTAGCATAAAATATGTAGAACTTTGTCAACATTGTGTGGCTGCTAATAACTAACGCCAACCCTGATAAAATTTCATTTAAAAGTTCCCTTTTTGTGCTTACTAATCAGTGCATTTATACCAGGCCACTTAACAGTGCAAGAATACAATAAAATAGTGTTGTATATCCAGGAAATACAATAATTCAACATAAACATAAGATAAAGGAAGGTACAGAAATTAATAAAGTACTGTCCTAAAATGAATCACAGGCTGTGAAAGTAAAGTCTGCATAAACAAAAGCAACACAATGTCCGGGCACAATTGTAAATCTTTGGATGTAAAGGAGGATCCTGAGCAAATGGGTCTTGATCATCAGCAGACGCACTCCTGGTATTAATCGGTACCTGGGTTCACAGCACTGCCAGGAGGCTCGATAGTACGTGACCAGGGGTCAAGCACATCTTTGGGTCAGTATCTCACCAGGAACCTGTGATTAAAGTTTCTCTTGAACTGAAAGACATTAAACATTGCAGACCTAATTACCTTGCATGGGAATTAACTAATACTGATCAGTCTTCATCTTCCAGCTCTTGATCACAGCAGGTGCACAGATAATTAGAGTTACTACAGAAGATAGAGCAGTTATCAATACTTTGGACTAGATAGGCCAATCCATTGGAACATACTCCTGTCTAATATTTTGACAGGACATTAGGTACAGAGCACAGTATAAGCATTTCATTTGTTTCCTCTATCTTCTTGCTTTAAGCTCATGCTGATTAGTTTTTAAACACGGGGACTTACTGAAAGTGATGACTGAGACCCTGCTAACTAGCATTAAAGCTGTTTCCCACTATCAATGGCATCAAAAACATTCCACAGGTATCATTTAACATGTTTTGGAATAGGTCCCCCTGTTTTAATGGATACCTGAACATTCAAAACAGGTTTAGATGGTCAAATATTCTTGATATCCCCTTTTGTGACAGTTGGCTACATACTAATACTATTTCAATATTCTGACCTTTGTTCTTAGCTCTCACTGTAGAAACCCCAACCCTAATGCTAAAATCAACTGCATGTTGCATACGAGAACCCAGGTTGACAATAGAAACTCTTGTGCACACATTGTTTAAGATTCTATCTTCGTTTTTATAGGATGCACACTGGCTTGAAATTACTTACTCATTAAGGACTGACAATAAGAATGCCATTGATTGTCCCTTTAAAAAGCTGACTCAGCAGTGGTGAGGCATGGCCTTACTGGAAACATACGCACACACATTGTTTCTCCTCCTCTGCAGGCAAGTAACCAACTCATCTCTGAGCATGCCAGACATACAATCCTCCTAGGTCATTCTGTTTCACCACATGCTGCAAGAACAAATGTTATCTAACTATTTCTATAAGAACCAAAGAGTTTATCGCTAGTGGTGTAAAGTTCAAGCACAGCTAGTCTTTAAGAAGAACACAAACCACAGAATGGCATAGAGCCCAGTATTTTCTGCAATGAATGTACCAAACAAGGTGAAAAGGATTGAATGAGTCAAACATACAGCAACTTTTAAAGTGGTCATTGAAAAAGATTAAAATGCCTTTTGCCATGAAATCAAAATGCTACAAAGACCCATTTAGTGTCAAGCCCCGACTGTAGAGCTCAGATTAAATGCTGTCAGTCTCACCCCCTCTTTTTAATGCACTGTTGTTTCATCAGCTGTTTTAGGAGGTATGTGCTCCTCTGCTCTCTCAAGCTGGTACCTGACTAGAGTCTTATTTCTGTCTCTGAGTGTCTTGTTATAGGTCATGATCAGCCAAGACATGAGGCAGGCATTTGGACTAAATCTATATTTGAACCTCCCCAGCCTAGTGGCTGGCTTCACAGCATAAAACACTACCAGCTATCTGCTGTTTGTCACTCACCCAGGCCCAGCTTCTCAGAATATTCCCTGCAAGTTCATTAATTTACTGGGATAGCAATGAATTACGTCTTTGCAATTATATAGGGCTTTTCATCCCAAAGAATCCCCATGATTCTTCCAGAAAGGAATGGTGGCATGAAAAGGCATGATGAAATCTTAGGATCAACTACCTGCTCGCATTTGGAACATTTTGACCTGTTCTTGTGTTCCAACACTCACAGTGGAACCATCTCAGTTCCTGTTCTTCTGGTTTCAAAAGCCACTCTTCACACCTTTGGTGTGAACCATCACAACCATCATACAGTGCTTGAATAAACACACTGGTCTGTCCAGTGCTCTTGACAGCTGAAAGAAGATAACACACGAAAGTTATCCCCTCTTGCTGGACAGAAGCTGCTGAGAACAAAGTTACATCCAGTGTGTCAAAGGGTTGTGTAGCGTCTAAAGGGGAGATGTAAAGATTAATGCCATGCTGAAAAGTAGAAATAAGAAATACAACAGAGGTTCCACACCTGGAGAAGCCTCAACACCTGGACCACCGTGTTTCTTCTTTCTATTTGTTACCATGGAACTCAGCTGGTTGCTGTAAAGCACCCGCTGATGCAGCTCCCCATTCAAACCACTAAATATTAAACTGACAATGCAGGCTCTGGTTCCTTTCTTAGGCTGAAGATACCCAGGGGATCCATAAAGATAACTTCTGCCTGTATCTGCTTTTTCTCACACCTCTACATGTGAAGAAGAAAAGGTAATGAGGAAGTCTAAGTACATTCTTCAGCTGTGTCCTGATAATTCAGAGTATTTGCTGAAAGGCTCTAATCACAGCTCCAGAAAGTGGATTTCTTTTGGAAAGTGGCCATTATTGACTTCAAGTGCTGTGAGCATCCTAGGAGTTCCCTTGGAGAGTGACCTTACTACCTATTGTGAAATACTTAATTCTGCTACTGAAACATGAAGGCAGGCCCACACTCTCTCTATGATACATGTACCACCTGCCTGGACCATTATTATATTGTGTTTCTTTTAACCACACCTCCTTTATGCTGTGTGTTTTATTGATTTATTTTATGATTAAATAATACATTTTGGATTGCAGCATATAAAGAACAAGTAAGGAGGGTCAGAGCACAGACTTGTAGAGAGCATTTGGGTTCGGAAGAGAACATTGAAAAACAGGAATAAGCTTGCAGTGATGCATAAACACAGAAATGCAGTGAAGATAAGACAAGTTAAATTGCTTACAGAAATGTCTCTCCAGACCTGCTTAAAACCTGATTGGTTTCTTATTAACTGAATTAGTCAAAAGTTAACAGTTGTGCATCTATCCAAGTACAGCACACTTCCTCTTAGTTCCATCTGCACTTTGCAGTCATTGAGTTAAATATGTCAATGTTATTCTGATCAGACATAACAGATGAAATATTTTATTTAAAGTATTTTAAAATCTGCATCCACTGTTCACTTACAGTACTTATGTTTATCCTGTGATGATCTTTTTGAGATTTTGAGAATTGTGAGACAAAATACTGGCAGATGTTTTGTGCAAATGCAGTATGACCTTTCAGCATTTATTCACAGTAGCCTGATTTATGAAGTGTTAATGATATGTTAATAATAAACTTATAAAATGTCACACAGATAAATCCCCAGGAATTAAACCCAGGGTCCCAACATTGCAAGACGGCAGCCCTAACCACTACAGTATCACCTTGCCACTCCTCCTCAAGTCAAAATGATTCCTATTGTTCTTATTTCCTCTTCAGCTCCAACTCCGCTGATGCAGCATTAAGTGTCTTGACAGAAACAGGTTACTAGACAACTCATGTACAGTATACTGAGCCCTATGGGAGGAAGAGACAGAACTCTCCCTCAGCAACCTCCAATTGCACATGCTCCAGCGCCAATGCTCTGGGTTCACAATGGACACCTGAAGAACACACATCCACACCTTGGGAGTTATTTTTCAAATCAAGCTGGTATTGATGAAGAAGTCCAGCAGCCATTGATCACGATCAATAAAACCAAACTGGTGATCTTTCGTGTAGTCATCATCTCTTTACTCTACAGGGCTGAAACATGGATGGTATAGAGGAGACACTTGAAATGACTGGTGTCGTACCAGCAGTGCTGTCTGGGGAAGATTTTTCATATCATGTGGGAGGACAGATGCACCAACTCGTCTTGTTCTCCAGCTGTCAGAATTCAGGCTCCCAAAACAGGTTCTCTTCTCCCAGCTTAGCCAAGGCAAGCACTCCAGAAAAAGTAAAAAACCTAAAGCAATGCAAAGATCAGGCACAATCTGAAGAAATACAACAGTAATATCAATTCCTGGGAGATTATGACTCTGCACTGAAACAGATAATGGAAGAATATCTATATCAGAATTAAGTGAAAATGTCAAAGGGAGTTCATCATGACTAGATAGACAGTGCACACCCAAATATTTCCCTAGACAACGTCTGTTCACACTCCAGGAGTGTAAGGATTCTGCATTGACCCATCTTTTCCTGTTTTAAATGACATTCTATTAATCTTTCGCTTGAGTTTTTGTATTGTGGTTGAGCCATTATCCATTGCAAATATCTTTCTCAGAACTTTCAGAATTCTGAACACTTGGATTAGGTTCCCTCATACTCATCTTGTAAGACTAAAGATTTTTAGCTCCTTTACCACCTTTGTGCATGACATGCCTTTGAGGTACAGGGTTTTGAGAATCAGGATTGCTTGCCTTTAATTTGGTATGAGGTGGATATAAGCTTCTTGTAATGTGAGTATCGTAAAAAGTATTTTAGAAGATTTCTTATTAATGCATTTCAAGTCTTAATGAGATCTAAATGATCGCATTGTATTCTCTTAACATTACTTCCTCTACTGTAAAACTGTACTTTACCTTATGAATACAATTTAATTTGTTAATTTAATTCACCCAGACATGCGCTCAAATGTATTTCCCAAATATGGTCCCAATGTTTTAAAATGGATTACATGTCTCCATCTAAGTGAAACCTGTCACTCACAAACTTACAAAATACCATCCATTCACCTGAGTCATACTTACTTGTTTATAATCTCCTCATCTTTTTCAGGTTATCAGTTTGAAAAGACTGAGATAGACAAGTATGATTAGATAGAACCGTTGGTATGTAGTGTAATTGTGACCTAGAGAAACAGGGGTGAATACATATTAAAATTATTTGAACATCCATCAATTATTTGAATAGCCGCTTGTGTAACTATTCGATACCGGTGCTTTTATATGCGTTTGAAAGCGCGTCAGGTGCCACCAGATAACTGAACTAAAGTTCATTACCATCTGCGTCAGTCTAAAGCAAAAATATTACGATCACTCCACAATTCATTGCTGTAAAATGTACGCACTTGCAACAAATCTAAGCCGCTAGGAAAAGTGAAGAAGTACTTCACTCCGGATAACTACTGCCTATCTTCTCTTCCTTCTCGACTGCACAACCAAATAGGTAACTGATTTGCCCGCCCTCTGCGATCATAGCAAACACGCACACAGACTGAAGTGTGCCAGACCGAAGCTACAAACTGACTTTTCAGCGCGACATTACACTGTAAGAACTAGCGGCCGTCCGGACAACAGCCTACACATCAGTGATGTCATCACTAAGTGATGTGATTAGCTGATCCGTTTCTTTCGGGCAAACTTCTGCTCAAGGCAAAGGTACGCGCTCTGCCTGCGGAACAGCCCAGTCAACTCTGTCGCTGCGTTTGAAATGAAAGTGCTCTAAGTTTTGTTCTGGGAGCGATGTTGACCTGGTAAGTAGAATTTAATAAGTTTTCATTGTATCTCATGACAGGAACAAAAAAAATTACTCGAAATGTCAAAGCACCGCTAAATCTGTTATTTCTCAAGGTATGTACTGATCAATATGCTGTAGTTTAGCTTTATCGGTCTCGGGCATCAAATGTGTCTTTCGTTTCGGAGACCCGTGGGATCTGCGTCGCTTGGATTTTAATTTAACATTACACTGTTCTTTTCCACCTTCGGCAGAATCTGAACAAACACGGTTACAATCAGTGCACCGGACAGTTTATGCTGTCCGTGGGGAGCAGCTTATTTCATCCTATAAATCTGCGCATCACTCAGAATACACGCACACTGACCGGTCTGCCTACAAACCAGAGCAACAGACCCTGGAGTTCAGATTACTCCTACTGTGTACCTAGGCTACTTCCACGTCGCATTGGAGGCTATTCAAACTTATTTATAATGCAGGGAATGCTCCAACTTTCGGTTACAAAAAGCCCTGCTGAGTTTAGAAAAGGTAAAGTTGGCAAATTCGTGCGGGGGGCGGCTGTGGCAAAACTCCGTTTAAGAGTAGGTCAACAACGAGAGGAACAGCAGACACCAAGAGGACACAGGAAACGGCTGCTAAAATCACGCAATTTGTGAACTAGTCATGATCGATGACGGTGTTCTCTCGCCAAGTCACATCGTTTCCCCTGCAGTTTGTCTAGGCGACCCGTTTCACTTCTGAAGTTTGAATAAGATTTCATTTACAGCTTGTATACTGACATTGTGGTAGACTACATGTACTAACAGTCGATAGTTATGGATTCTTGCACTTAAAGGCAGTTCAAAAACCGTGCAGGTAGGGTGTCCAAGTTGTGCGCGTACCCTAATGGTTGGAGCGTATCTTTTGATCTTTTGTTGTGTCATTTATCTTAGAACAGTTTGAAATAAAGCTAAAGACAGACACGATAAAAGAGCAACCCACGACTACTGATGGAGTAGATTAATACGGTATGAAGTATCAGTAACGCAATAAGGGTAATACTCAATCTTTAAAGTAATTAAAGTGTCGTGTGACCAGATTGCACCGCAACAGTAATTAATGGTTACGGGTTTTTAAAATTGCCAGATGAAAGAAACAGAGAGTCCCGGTGAGTACTCAGGTTCACTGGCTGAGATGCCAAGTTTTACTGGGGTTAATAGTATACTTTATATAATCCTAAAGAAGCTATTAGATCTCGTTAGCCACACACCTATACTTCACAACCATCCCACAGTGACCTCCAAATATAAATGTTTTGTTTCTTTTCGCATATTATAGGGCCTTTTTAAGCAGTTTCTTTTTTCTATGGCATTCTCTAAAGTAGTGGGGAAATCATTCGTTTTAAGAAGAGTTTACGGATACTATCTGACTTTGTTATTGCATCATTACATGTTAAAATAGATTCATATAAATTAAAAGAACACGGTAATTCCAGGCTGAGAAGTAGAAACAAAGAACAGACAGTTCGGTGTTGGGCCATCTTCAGGCGTGAGAGATGGAGAGAGGGAGCAGAGACATGATGAAGCAAAGGAGGGCAGAAGAGACAAGAGGGGCGAAAGAGTGTCTGAACGACTGGACTCCAGGAGAGGTGTTAAAACTGAAATCCGTAAAGTAATGAAAAAGTAAAAATAAAATACGTTTGATTCCGGGATTGTGCCGTGCTAATTTCGCTTTCAGACACTAGGGGGCACACTCTTGAAGGAATACAGCAAACGAGGCTGGCCGGTGGTCGAGGGCCAACCCAGCCCACTGAGGCCGATGCTGTAACTGTAGTTACTCAGTGCTGAGCAGGTCTGATTACAAATATTGTACAATAGTATTTTTTTGTGTGTGATAACACATTATTTTATCAAGTCTGTTAGAAATGTTTATTCTAAATCTTTCTGCCTTGAGGATCCTTTTGTATAGTTTTCTCTAAAATAACTGTAAATGAAATAGTTCCATCACCTTTAATTATCAGTGAGTTTTAATACCATATTTTAGTCTTAAATATGAAGTTGGCTGGAAATTTTTTGTTGTATACCTTGAAATACACAAAGGGTTGACAATAATATGAATATTGTTTTAGATTATATTTTCAGTGGTGTGGAGTAGCAGTTTTTCCTATGTCTTTGGATGGCCTATACTCTTTAATAAAGAAGACTAGAGTTTGTAATTTGTGGGTCCAAGAATTTCACGTTGTTATTTGTTCAGGGGAGCCCACTTCAGCAACAGATACCAACAGAATCAGGACATGTCCTGTGCTTGTCTTGTCCACACCACCTCAGATATACAGTACAACACCACAGCCTTACTGTATATTAGTGTCCCAGCTAATTTCCCAGCTTCAATGTATATTTATCTAGATAAAGAGTGCTATTAGCCTCTTAGTGCAGTTTTCTTCAATGCATTGTTTTTGCGATAGGATCGTTATTTATTGATTTTGTAAATGTTTAACTTTGCTCTGACTCCCTTCATGTTCTTTTCTTTATTCTGCTTTTCCTAAAGCTGTCCAGCACCATATTAATGGTCAGCAAGTGTCCACCGTTGAAGTATGTTACCATGGCACCTTTAATGCTAGTCACAGCTCACCAAACAAAGAGAATTCCCAGCATCTTCTCTTGGTACAAAATGGAAACTTAGTTATCTGGAAACATTAACTAGGGAGGCAGTTAATGCAGTAAAGAGAGACTTGTCCAAGGAATATGGAATTGACTTGATGTTGGTCAGGATTCTTATTTCTTCTCTTCTCTCAGTATGACATTTCAATCTATATATTCGTCTTGAAAATACTTGCAGTTTTAAGTAAATAATAACTTTCAAGTAGCAATTTTGACCCTAAAGGATGCCATGGGATTTCATTTAGTGTAGTGGGCTCACTTTATCCCCCACCCACCTGTGCGACACACAGCAGCCCTTCTGAACTTGGGTTCATGCCTCTACTCTTCCAAACAGTCCCAGGGGATCTTGAGTAGTACTCAGGATCTCAGTTTAACATCTCATCAGAAGCACAGCACCTCCCCTGTCATTATACTGGACCACTGGTTTGGAAATTCTGGCCCAGATTGAAGAGCACCACCAACTGCTGCCTCACCAGCATTTGTAAAAAGGAACCTGTCTGTCCTTGACCTTCATCCCAGTTCTGACCACGTCCATCTTAGCATAGTTTCTCGGATGTTAATATGAAGTATTGTCAAATGACTATGGTATGAAAAGCATCTAACAGGGAGTAGGTCATTTTAGGTAGCCCTAACCTGTTTTCGATTTTGTTCAGCAAATACCTGGCAGAAACCTCCTCTTTCTTGTGGAATAGTGTCATGTCTCCTTTCCTACCCACAGTGTAGCAAGAAGTAAGTGAAGTCTTGTTCATTAGACCAGTCTCATGCTGCAGCATTCTGGGCAGTCAGATTACATTTTCTTCACAACATACACCTTCATGCAGAATCGTGTGTCCTCCCAGTCCTGGCTTCAGCTGCACATATTTAAGAAGGCTAAAGTAATTAGGTCAGACTTGGACATTTTTTATCTATTTTTTTCTTGTAGTGAAAAAGTTCAAACTCCCATTGCAAAGGGACTTGCTAAAGTTTGGGTTTGATGGGGTGCAGCTTCATGTGTGCACTGATAATTTCAAGCTTGTTCCACACAATATGTTTTTTGCACAGGCAAGCATCAGAAGCAGAAGGTAATTTAATATAAACTGTTCTCTCTACTTTTGCCCATTTGCACAATTTAAACTTTGTAACATGACAATACTTCCAGAGTTGTATTTCTTTTATAACCCTGTAAGCAACTTTAGATTATGGCACCAGTCAGGCAAATAAAATTAACTAGCAGTATACATTTGTAGGTGATGAAACTTGACATGAATCAAACTGTTTTGCAATGGTAGTCATACTTGTTTCCAAATTGGCTGTTAAAACCGAAGAACCAAGCTGTAGAAAATGACTGAGTTTTAATTTGCAATGCCATGCCAAGATACACTTCAAATTGAGAAGAGTTTATTTCTCCATTGCTGATCGACTCCTTCTCTTTCAACAGGTCATTAAAGATCCGGCCAGCTGAGTGAAGAGAGAGAGATGATGTTTTGAGTTGTGGGTTGTGTTGCACGCAGATGTTCTCATAGAAAAAAATGAATGGAAGAACATGCAGCATCAACTTCCCCGCGTCCAGTGTGCCACATGGGCCTGGCAGGGTCAGCGGACAGCACATCCCCCCTATCAGGGTCCAGGCTGGTACTCCCTGCTCCCCCTCCAGCAGAGCCACTCCCAGCCCGGCCAATGGGAACACTTCCAGCAGCGTCCAAGGCAAGGTGCCCCTGAGCTGCGGGCCTCATTCAGCCACAGTTCCTCAAGCTGGCATGAGAGAGAGTCCTGTTCACCTCCCCACCTTGAGCCCAGGGAGGCAGGTGGTGACCAGTGGGAAGCCGGTGTTCGGTGTTCAGCAGCCCCCAGGACAGCCTTTACCTCCAAACACACAGGACACTGGAACCTGCTTTCACAGCTCTAACCGCAAAGGTACTGTCCAACCGGTCAGCCACTGCGCTGGCACTGAGATCCAGATGTGCTGAGCAGGTGAAACACAGGAAGTCCAATAGGGGTGTTGTCAGCCACAGTGTACAGAGGGTAATGTTAGCTCAAATGTGTGCAATGGCACTGACAGGTACATTGTAATGTTGCTGTTAGAAAAGATGGGTTTAACCTATCCACGTGTGGTCAGGGAGAGCCCAGCTCACACAAGATAATGGAAACAAAAGGTCTGGCATATGATGTGGATTGGTGTGTTTAATTCTCCTTGGGGACTTTACAAACATTTTGCTTTTCAAGATATGGGGACGCAGTCTATAAAGCTAAATATGACCTTGATACAGCATGTTAAGGAATAAATTAGAAATATTGGACTTGAAGCAAAGGAGAATTATCAGTCCCATCACATATTACATTTTTTTAAAAAGGAATTCAAATACCTTTTGTGAGTAATGATCAGGCAGTAAATTGATATGCAGACTTACCACAACCTTCATCAAGGTTGGAGATGATGGTTTTGACAAGGGTTTGGAAGAGCCCTACCTTCTAGAAAAACCTTCTAGCTCTAGGAAAATAAAGGCCCAGAAGACAATGTTAGACCCATTATATTGTGAAATTAAAGGAGTAATGTGAAGGATAGTGATACAACAGTGGACATGTTAGTGATACTCTGCTGAAACTTTGTTGCGGGAAATTTTCTTTATGTTTTTACACTTTTGCTATGTCTTTACCCTGCTTTTACTGCTCTGATACATTTCCCTCTGTGTTTATTTGACATAGCATGGTAATCTTTTATAAATTAGCCTGGTAATATTTGTGGAAAGTAAGATTTTAAAAAGCTGAAAGGTTCCAAACATGATGAAACCATTCAGTCTATTCAGCTCATCTAAACATTAGGTGAGCACTTAGTCTGTTCATGATCAGACCATGGAATGGGGGAGGATTATTGCAAACACATTGGCTGAACACATTGGCTGAATCTAGCGTGTTTGGTAGTTTGTTGATTGTCTGAAGATTTTATCTATATTTTTCTTGAAAGAATGTAGGGTATTGGCTTTGACAGCATGTCTGGGTAACTCATGCCAGTGTCCTAAAACCTGGGTGATCCCCTGACCAGAAGAGTTCCCTACAGTCATATAGAGAGCTGTCTAAGATCCGTTCAGGCAACAGGTTGTAGTGACCCATGTGATCTGGGAAGTTTGAGAGGCATAGCATAGTCCCTGTTTTTGCCTTTGCTCTTCGTAAAGTCTGAGAGTGTGTTTTTTGCTAGATGTTGTGGAGGAAAAAAAACTAGTGGCAAAATTAGACACAGGGTACATGATTTCTGATAGGGTGATTTAATCATTTCTGTGAGGCAGTGTAACTCAGTGTTATGCAAATTGATTCTCTGCTGTCACTTTAAAAGAACAGTGATTATAAACATAAGTGGCACTTCTTACCTCCAGAACCAGAAAATTTGAACTTTTACCATTCCTGCATTATAAGCCAACTCAAATTCAACTCAAAATGAACACAGTATATTAATTTCAAACAAGTGCACCTCCTTTTATTTTCATGGATTTCCTGGCAGTTTGGTTGTAGGCTTTTTGTCCAGGAGGCAGCATTTAAAAAGTTTTGACATCCAGTTATAGCAGTGATTTGGGCTATGATTTGGTTTGGGGCTACGTATTGTGTTTTAATGTAGGCTACCCCAAAAATTAGTTTAGTTTGTTGAAACCCTTCTTCATTTTGCTAAAAAGACTCAAATAAATAAATAAGACTCAAATAAAGACTCATATAAAACTTGTCCTTTTCACAAGATTTAAGGACATAAAGCGAAACACAAACAGAAATAGATTCAGAATTATGAGGAAAATTTTATATGAAGACTATTGTTGTCATTATTGTCTCTTATGTTGGTACAATTGCATGTTAATGCTTTTTTGTAATGACAAAATCAAATCTGTTCATCCCCTCATGGAATAATGAATAGTTTTTCAGCTGATTGTGTCCATATTCAGAAGTTTGTATGAATTAATGGGGTAGAAAATAGTACACAGTACTGCTGTTGCTTTATAAGAAGAAAAGGCAAGCCCGAACAGTTTTGAAGGCCTCTGTCCTAGTTAAACATTACCATGAACTTGCAGTAACACACACAATTGGTTTTGGAGAACAGTTGCATTCTTATTTTCAAAATATCTTTGCCGCAAATAATTTGTAGCAACAGCAATGTCCAAAATTCAACATGCCATAAGCAATTGTAAAGCACACTCATTCATCATAGTGTAAAGGACAGGTGAAGGTGCATTTTATGTGTGTCTTAATTACTGACTCTTAATTTTTAAAGAGCATATTCATACTTCCTGGTACGTTTTGGCTTCATTTTGAATGATATGTTCGTCTGAGCTCTTGTACTTTTACTTACACTTAGAAACACTCTGACACTTTGGTAATGTGATGCATAATATAAGAAAAACTGGTTTGTTTTCTCCCAATTGTATTCAGTAGTTTTTTTCAGGTTGGGGAAACCTGAATCATGCCTGAAGTCATGTCAGTTGTAATTATAGAATCCTAAAGAACAGAAAACTCTGTCAAATCAACAGGCAGGTGTTGCTCTTATCACAGTCTGAGGAGTAAGCTGCAATTAAAAAAGACTCACTGAGTGATTGATATTCTTTCAAAATGTTCTGGGGACTCAACTGTATAGCTGTCTTCATCAAAGGCATGTAGATCAGCAGTACTTCAATACTAAAATGATTTTTTGGCCATAAGAGTTTTAACTCATCAATCGACTTTTTGTTTGTGAATCACATTGAATTTATAAAGTAATAAAAAAGCAAGCTGAATGTACTTTATTTCTGTTTTAAATTGAACTGCTACAGTCCCAATCTTTAAATTCTTTACTATTAGTAGTAGTAGTAGTAGTAGTAGTAGTAGTAGTAGTAGTAGTAGTACTGGTCTAAATCATAAATTAATTTACATCTTTCTAGCAATGCAGTATACATGTTATTGTGGCTTCTGCCATTCGGATGGACATTTTTGAATCTTCAATAATGCAGATGTATAATGTTCTGTCTAATTCCTTGCAGATTTCATTTTATTTCATGTTTGTTAAATTGTTCCTCTAAGCAATACCTTTTGTGAAGATGGAGGGTGAATTAAATGCAGATCTCTATAATAATGGTTGGTTTACAAGTAAATTTGTTGTCAGTACCCATAATGGCTTCTTTCAATCTGTCGGTCTAGCCCTGTACTTGGCCTTTTTGTTGTTTATTGAGTATAGTTTTTTCCCCATCCCTAATTTTTCAAAAGGCTGGTTTTGGGTGAATTGTGCTTCCCCATGCTTCTGCTTCTTTGCGATCGGGAAGCAGTGTTTTAGGAGGAGTGACGGAAGTTTGTTACAGACCACTGCTACTTACTGTACCGCTGAGGGGGAAGGAGAGCCAAAGCCAGTAAGTAATGAGACGGTATGTGCAGGGGCTGGAGCTGGTTCTGCATCAGGGCTCCAGGAAAACAGATGGGGGGGGGGGGGTCTTGCGGAGGGGAGAAAGTGAGTTAATTGCAGCAGCAGTACTCTTACAGCTTTGCTACTCAGCAGGTTGTGTCAACTGCTCAACGCCAAATCCCTGTGGGAAAACAAATATGGCAGTACGTTTCTGGAAGACTTTTTTTCAGTTCTGGACTTTTAAGATGCTAAAACGTAAGAATGGAAGCAGATCCGTTGTTGAGAGTTGCCGGTTCCTTGGAGTTGCCTAGAAAAAGAGCATGTGAGAAACGGAAACTTGGAATGCTGTTGTGGCTGCTCGCTTGCTCACGTCTCTGAAACAATTTGTAATCACAGTTCTACATAACACGAGTTCACTTGTTTAACGGTTTTATCCCCATATGTGGGGTTTTTGAAGTGACCAAATAAGGATACTACTGCCATAAGCAGTTCCTTATAAAACCCTGCAAGATTTTTATTTATGAAATTTTACTACAGGTGCAGTCCGGACACCTTCACCTCAGCATGCAGAGAAAACATGCCTCCTTTTTGCCTTTTGAATTGAGCTAGTTCTGACACTTTAGAGCCTTTAGATAGGTTTCTGGTTTCAATTCTGCTTTGAAAGATTTGTCTCAATAAAATTATTCTGGCACCTTGACAATACATAATCTTTTTCGTTCAAACAGACAAGAGTTCTTGTTTTTCCTGACCTGACAGCTAGAAAGGTGAAGATAGTCTTGGAAACAAAAGTCTGTGCAGCTGATTGTGTTACGGAGCAGTTTCAACTCATTTCAGACCTAAATTTGCAAGAATTTAATTTTCTAAGAGATCAATATAATACTGTGTGTATGTGTGTGAATTGTTTTGTTCTACCTGTAACAAATTCAGATGTTAAAAATATCTTGGGCTGCCCTTCAGACTCAGGCAGGTCATAGTGTATGCAGATGACTTTGATCAACTCCAACATTCCTGCCAGATTAGAGATTTGAGTTTAGGACTATTGTTTCATTAATTGCTCTGACCCCTCTACTTGTCATTTAGTACCTTCACTTTGCTTTCAGATATTTGAACTTCAATTATGTCAAGGAGGATTAGGATCATGTCAGAATCCAAGAACACCAGACAGTGTGAGCTAAACAAAATTGTCCCCTAGGCCTAGTTCACCATTTTATAGTTTGTCTTTTTGTTCAAAGTTCTGTGTCTCGCCAGAAAATATTCCATCACCAAGATATTAAACCAAAACTTAAAAGTTAACATAACAGGGAAATCGTTCAAGAAATCTGTGGATTGGTTAGATACTAACTACTCAACAGGCTAGAAGGGCCAGATTGCCTGTCATTTGTAGCTGTTATTATGTTCTTAAAGGTTATTGAATCTTTACTCCTATGTGTTGGAAAGTTTACCTGATTTTGCAGCTTTAACTAATATGAGAAACAATATTCTCCATGCTGCATTCATAAAAAATCCTCTAGAGCCTCTCAAAGTCAGTTTCAAGAGTCAGTTTCCTCAGGGTTATAATGTTCAGAAA